TTGGGGATCCACTTGCCTTGTGCCGTTTTCCTTTCTTTCAAAGCTGAGAGTTGCCCTCCAAGGGCAAGTTCCCCAAAAAGGAGGAGTGGAATTCTCCGCTTGAGCAGGTACCCACCTGGGGTAGTGTTTCCGTTTGTTTTCTTTCAGCCATATTTCTAACAATTAAACAACAAGTTAGCAGTTCAGCAGCCAAACCGTGACGCGCTCACTATGCCTGTCAATGTCCGAGGCTGGACCCTTTTGAGGTTGAACCCCTTGAACCCCTCATCATCTCCAGCTCAGTCCTGTAACAGCTGCACACATACCTGTATCAGTTGGCAGTTGCATTAAGTCGTCTGAGCCAAGGCCAGATGGGTGACTGTCACCTCCGCTCAAGGCTAGTACTTAGAGCAGCCGCTCCCCTACTTTAGGGCTACCGAGTCACGACACAGCCAGCACTAGATCCGCTGCCTTTAGCGAGTGCAGAGGCACCCTCGCAGGCTATACATAGCACAGTTTGACTTTGCTTGGCAAAGCCGACTCACAGAGGTCTTGAAGGAGGAGCTGTCAAAGACAGCTCCCCCTCCTTGAGGAGCTTACGTTTGCCTCTTGCCTCCTAGGCTAGTTATTAAGAAAAATCAAATTTACTGGTAACAAAGCTTTGACAACTGATGCCCTAGCCTAAACTGTTATTTCTAAACTGTGACTATAGCGTTGAGACATTACAAATGGTAAAGAAAATGAAGTTATAGAATAGAATTATAAAGAGAAAGAAAAAACTCATTAAACATAAAGATAAAATTATAGAAAAGAAATTTTGTAGGTACTGAATTTGTTTGAGAAGGGAACTTGCAGCTTTAAAATAACAATGCAGTGTGTTAGAATTGGTGTTAATCAGTTGTAAAGTAAGATTTATAAACATTAAACCTTGTTCAACTTTACTCTGAAGTTTTTGTTTTTATATTCATAATAGAAAAATTATAAAAATAGAAATAATCTATTTAATGATCAACCCCTAGGGCTCAAAGTATTAATCTGTTTATTTAACTGCTAACACAAAGGTACATTTTATCAAATGTATTCCCATGTCAAACCCTGCAATGTGACATATCAACTTCTTCATTGTCATTTGACATCCCTAATATGTAGGCCTACAAACAAATATCTCCTCTAAGGCTCAACATTTTGTTATGAATAGTACATCACGTTACTTGTCTGAAAAATGGGGAGACAAGTATTTGGGAATACCATACGAGTAGCCTACAGTAAACACATTTTGGACGAGTGAAACTAACAAAAAAATCCATGTGTGTAGCACCTGAGATGTTGGACATAATGTAAGACTAAATTACTTCTGCAATCCCGTCACAGCTCAACAAAACATGTCCTGAATTAACATATTTTATTGAGCTGTGACGGTATTACGTAAGTAATTTAGTCTTACGTTATCAAAAAAAGTCTAAATCCGTCACAACTATTTTTTTTGTTCAACCACTCGCTGCCATTTTAGACTACTTAGTTCAAACGTTTTTTGTGATTTTTTTCTTATGAATTAAGTTTAGTAACAGAGATGTAAGATACAGAGGATACTAGCTTATGCGACAACTGTGCGCTTTCAGCTCTGGTATGGTAGGGCTAAACTGTACTTGTACCGATCAACGAAGATGTACTTGTACCACATCACATTCTTGTACAGCTGTTGTATGTGACGGTGAGGGAGGAAAGTAGAGCGGAAGGGGACGATGAATAGAATTCTCTTTGGTTCAGTGTACATTTTGTTTAGTTAATAATTATTTATGTTTATGAAATGTATGAGGTTTTCAATCACAAAAAATGACTAGTGCACCTGTTGCTCAAATTCTAACAATTGCAAATTATTACAGGCGTTATTTCAAGACGAACAACAGTAATAAATTCCGATGACTTAATGAGTCGACTTAAAGATAATGTCATCAATCAACCCACTCCAGTTATCGAAACTGAAAACGAACTCACTCTGAAAACAAACGCTCTCGTGTGTATCATGTGTTTACTATGAACAGCTGTAATTAATACAAATTATTCGTCTGTTTAAGTAAACAAAATTCTTTCTTCATAAAAAATGCATAAGGGATTTTGAGGGCTTGTGGGGCAAAGCCCGAGGACTTTTATTACAGGAATTGGCAATAAAAGTTTGGTCTATACAAAAAATACTTAATTTTGACATACAGTAGAGTCCCGTTAGTCCAAAATGGTTGGGACCGGACCAATTTCCAATTACCGAGAATTTCGGATTAAACTTTTATTTATTTATTTTTTTTTGAAAACTTTTAAAAATTTTTGTTTTTAAAATTCTTGTTGGGACGCTAGGCACGAGCCCGGGATTGTTTTTCACATTACTTTAGGCTAGACTGGGGGCTGCAGCATTATCACTTAAATAAAATCAATTTGTGATTTGGCAGGATTGGAACCCAGGACGAAAATGAAAAATGTTTAAAAAAAAATTGCGAAATATTTACTTAAATGCTCTATAAAACAAGTCTATCTCGCCTGGCCGTTACAGAATACTTTGAAGAGGTACAGCTAACTGTGTTGAAAGTTAAATAAAAAAGATAAAAAATAAAATAAAAAAAAATAAATGTATTTTTTGGTTTTGGATTAAGCAGACTTTTGGATTACCGAAGTTCGGATTATCGGGACTCCAGTGTATCGTTTGTAAAAGTTTGTCCATTATTAACGGAGGAGTAGTGTTTTGTAGAAATCACCTTCACGTATTATATATAAGGATTGTAATCAGCTGGTTTCCGGTGAAATTCATTACTAGTAGTACGCAATGGAATCCCATTTGACGAAGCAGGGGGCAAACAACTCTTTTCTGGACTAAATCCATGTGAGGAAAGTCCATTAAAAGATGTGGCAAAAAAATTCATTTTTGGCTTTGTCTATTTGTGTTTTAAAAACGGCTGGTTATATAATAAAATGGTTTAAATTTCATGTTGTCATACTAATATTATATGTGTTAAAGTTTGTGTATTTGTTTGATGTTCAATCACACATTAACTACTGCTCAGATCGCGCTAAAATTTAGCATGATGATAGCTAACATTCCCGATTAACATCAGCTGGTTCAGTTGTTTCCCATTTCGTTCAACGCTTGGATTTAACCTAATCTAAAATGTGTTGTTTACTGTTTGAAAAACTAATTATTTCTATTAGTGATGGGCGGATCCAAGAAAATGTCGGTACCGGATCCGGATCTTGAAAAATTCGGATCCGGATCTTCGGATCCGGATCCAGATACACACTGTCATAAGGGCTTGTTAAAAAAACATAATTAACAGAATGACAATTTAAATCATACTGTTTAAAATTAAATTGGTAAAGTTTAAAGGTTAATATATCTTATATATAGAGTAATCTACAGTTAAGCCCATAATCCCTCATTTTTTGGGGACACTAAAACTTGTTCAAATCTTAAAATAAAACTATTAGTTGATGATATTAGTTGGGCAATGTCACAGTACTGTATATTACGACGTCAATAACCTGTATGGTTAGGCAATGTCACAGTACTGTATATTACGACGCCAATAACCTCTATGGTAGGGCAATGTCACAGTACTGTATATTACGACGTCAATAACCTCTATGGTTAGGCAATGTCACAGTACTGTATATTACGACGTTAATAACATCTATGGTTGGGCAATGTCACAGTACTGTATATTACGACGTTAATAACTTCTATGGTTGGGCAATGTCACAGTACTGTATATTATGACGTTAATAACTTCTATGGTTGGGCAATGTCACAGTACTGTATATTACGACGCCAATAACCTCTATGGTAGGGCAATGTCACAATACTGTATATTACGACGTTAATAACTTCTATGGTTGTGCAATGTCACAGTACTGTATATTACGAAGTCAGTAACCTGTATGGTTGGGCAATGTCACAGTACCGTATATTACGACGTCAATAACCTGTATGGTTGGGCAATGCCACAGTACTGTCGTCAATAACCTGTATGGTTAGGCAATGTCACAGTACTGTATATTACGACGTCAATCAAATCAAATAAAATCATCCTTTATTCATAATGTACAATATATACATGAATAGTGTCAATTATTAAGAATACCAACATAAAAATAATATAATACATAAAATAACATTAACCTGTATGGTTAGGCAATGTCACAGTACTGTATATTACGATGTTAATAACTTATATGGTTGGGCAATGTCACAGTACTGTATATTACAACGTTAATAACTTCTATGGTTGGGCAATGTCACAGTACTGTATATTACCATGCAGGTATATATTGTATACTGCATATTACCAACCATACAGGTTATTGACGTCGTAATATACAGAACTGTGTCATTGCCCAGCCATACAGGTTATTGATGTCGTAATACAGTACTGTGACATTGCACAACCATAGAGATTATTGGCGTCGTAATATAGGCCTACAGTACTGTGACATTGCCTAACTATAGAGGTTTTTGACGTCGTAATATACAGCACTGTGACATTGAGTAAAAAATCGGGGGAGAATCGGTCTTTTACATAGATACAGACAGCTTTGTGTTAGTAAAAAAAATCAGGGAAAATCGGAAAAAATCGGATCTATCAAAACTGGATTCAGTCTAAGATCCGGAATTTTTTGGATCCGATCCGGTGCCGGTTCTAGCTCGGATCCGGCGGATCCGGCGGATCCGGTAGTCCGATATCCGGATCCGACCATCACTAATTTCTATTCTTTATAGTAACTTTAGGAAAAATATAATGTGTAACAAGAGTGCAAATTGCCTTTGCTGACTCTATAAACTTTCCACACTCGCCTACGGCTTGTGCGTAAACATTTCTCTCGTGTGCAGCAAAGTGCCACTTCTCCCACTAGTTACACAAATAACTATTTTATTGATTTCCCCCCTCTAGATACTTAGAAAGCAAAAGATAATTGAATTAGTACGATTAATTATTTAAGTACCAATTACACGTTAATTGTCTTATAATATAAATTTGCAGGTAGTCAACTGCTATGGTAAATTCATCATTGGCTACGGAGAACTGTTGGAAAAGGTTTTAGACCTCACTCTTCACCTGAAATGCTGCGAAGGATATACTTTGGCCTCCAAATTACTCAACAACATCTTGTCTGCAGTATCGGTGACAAAACCTCAGGATTTCAAAAGTAGCAATGAAAACTATGGAAAACCGATTTCAGAATACCTTCCTGTCAGGGTAAGTAAGAATTTATGTTCCAAAAGATGGTAAGCTATCTTAACTTTATTTTTAGTGAATTTCCCTGTAGCTATTACCCTAGGTGGTAGGGTAAGACCTGGACCCAGGATCGATTTACTTTTTTTACTTTTATTTGATGTCCCTAGAGGCCAAAAACACCATTCGTTCAAATGTATACATAATACATGTATATATGTATGTTTGTGTCTGTGAACACCATAACTCTAGTAATTTTGCTACAACCTTGATCATTTTTGGCAAGAACGTGTAGGGCGGCATTAACATGAATGAGTTGGCGAATCAGCAAGATCGGGTCATGTGAACAAAGTTTTTTTACAAATTTTACAAAATTTTTAAAAAATTTTAGCCCTTAAAACTTAAAAATTCCCAATTTTTACAACCATTGTGTAGAGCTTAAAAAAGAATATAATTTTTTATTTTGAAGTGTTGCGGTACAATTGTTATGGATAAATCTCCTGAAACTGTAGGCCTAAAAATCCCATGTTATTCTTTTGCAGAACAAATCAATTATTGTATTTAGTATGTTTATAGTATGAGTATAGATATATTTAATATTTTTATCAAATGTGGCAAATTTGATTATTTCATACTGTAATGAACACTCACACACGACACACTTTTTCCCTTCCCTGTATCAGGAAACCAAAGTTATTGTTAACACTAATGTTATTTAAATAAATCTCACATGTTTGAGGAAGTATTTTAGTTAAAATCCAATGAGGCAATGGAAATTTGCTTAGACTGCAGGGTTGCTGTGGCTGGTGTATTTAAGGACCTAGCAAGATTGAGGTTTAGGCTCAACATTTCAGCTTAATTATGTTAAAAACATTGATTCCCTTTGAAAAAATCCTCTTATACATTATCCTTCCTCATATCAAATTAATTGGGTTGTAAACTTTTTGTGTCTTGTTAACTGCCCGGAACTATTTTCTTGGTTAAGTTAGTTATGTATTCTTTCTTTCTTCCTTAATATAAGAATACTTAAGAAATACTTTTATTACTAAGTTTACTTAAAAAAGGGTTTTACACAGGATTGGGGTAGGTCATATCAGACAAAAGACTTAGCTGTGGAATGGTATACACCAAGTGAAAAGGAAGTTAAATATGTTGAACACTTGATTGCCAAGTACCTGGTTCCAGAACTTTACCTTATTGAAGCCTACTCCAAGGACAAACACTCCTTCACAAGGTAAGCAAGTCTGATAATATTGTAATCTATATGCCATAGTAAACATTATATCCCAATTGTACAAAGATTTCAAAGTTGATAATGATAATCAGTACTATCATTATCATTCACAAACTTTCCCAAATTATTTTATAGATGAAAGAGACATGAAATTCCCAAATTATTTGCCAACATTTATTTCAATTGTGTGGGTTCTGAAATCATGGTTTGCTAAATGTCTGTTCAATACATTTTGACAGCACCAATTTACCCCTTATGCCCCCTTATGTATCCTGTTTGACTTGGATAAATAATTGAATTAATAGGTAAAATATGATTATTGTTTTAAAAAAATCTAGTAAATCAATAGTAGTAAACTGAATCAATAAATTGATACAATAAATTTCTCTGTTATTTTATATAAATAACCTATTTTAATAAAAACATTTACCTTGAAACCTATTATCCTACTAAATTCATTGATGCAGATTTCAAAGCAGAAATGTCAATTACATTACTTCATCAAAGCAAACACAAAATCTGTGGCCAACATTCATTCTAGGGCCCTATTATTGTAGGGCCCTATTATTGAAATAGTTGACTGTTGAGTTGAGACTTTTATTTCCTTCCCGATTTTCGGGACGGGACTGGACGGGATTTTTTCCTGTGCATAAGAAGAAAGTCTTAAGTATTACAGTTACCAAAAAAGACAAACAAAATCAATTTTTACAATTTGTGGCACTGATCTATAAAAACCAAAAAAATGGGTAAAAATTTACAGGTATAAAAACTTGTGACTGGTGGTCAAAATGACTCACGGTCATGGCGGGATCGTCGGTATGACTCCCCGGTCACGGCGTGAATGTCAGTATGACTCCGCGGTCATAACGTGATTGTCGGTTTGACTCCGCGGTCACGGCGCGTTCGCCGGTATGACTCCGCCTTCACCGTGCGATCGTCAGTGTGACTCCTTGTTCACGGTGTGGTCATCGGTATGGCTCCGCGGTCACTGTGTCATCGTCGGTATGACTCCGCTGTCACAGAGTGATCGTCGGTATGACTCCGCCGTCATGGAGTGATCGGCGGTATTACTCGCGGTCACGGTATGTTTGTTTGTAGACTCCGCGGTCACGGCCTGAACGTCGTTATGACTCCGCGGTCATGGCGTCATCGTCAGTATAACTCCGCGGTCACGGCACAATCGTCGTTATGACCCGCGGTCACGGCATTATTGTCAGCATGAATCGCGGTCACAGCATAATCGTTGGTATGACTACGCGGTCACGGTGCGATCGTCGTTTTAACTCCGTGGTGAAGGCGTGATTGTCAGTATGATTCAGAGTCATCGTCGTCGAAATGACTTCGCCCTCTGCTTTACTGGAAGTATCGTGAACATCTGTCGCGATAGCGGCGTCATCGTCACTCGCAAAGCGGCAAAATTGCCAACGATCGGATCAAATCCTATCCCGAAAAATCCCCGAATCAAATGTAATCCGTTCCCGAAAATCGGGAATATATTTTCCCCGAAAATTTCCTGAAATTTGGTGACCCGTCCATCCCTAATACAAAGTAAGAGAAACTGAATGAAAAACTCTTTACATTCAGTGAGTAATTCGAGAAACTTTGGCTAAGACTAACTGCTCTTTTTTGGAGGATAAAAATTTGTTTGGCATGACTAGCAGAATGCCATACCGTTAAACCGTAATTCATGATAGAAGAAAAATAAGCGTGGTATACTGCTAATTGTGTGTCTAAAATTGTACCTAGTGCTATGTCTCGAATTACCCGAAGAAAAAATGTAGCTGATCTGAGTCTCTTTGGTAAATTATTAATGCGTGTTTACCAATTGAGTTGCCAGTCTATATCAATTCCCAGGTAATTGACTGAGTTTTGAGAATATATTGATGTTTGGTTGAAATTTTCAACAATGTCTCTATTCTCGTTAGCAACTGAAAAGTGAATTAGTTGTGTCTTTGACTCATTCATATGTGTACATCCATACAAGTGCAATCTTTATTGAGCTTACCTCGAGTGGAGGACCCACCTTAAGGTGTCCAGCTTAGGTGGAAGTTGAGGGCATTAGTGAGTTTAATAAGGATTGCACAGAACACATTCTTTTTTACTTTACTTTTTTCTGGTTTACTTCTTTATTTCTTTCCTTTTTCAGAGAAGAACTGCAGTGTTCCCTGAGCATAGTCACAGCCTTTCTCGGTTGTGGTCGTCTCCTGCCCATCTGGGATGAGCCACCAGTTGCATTGTGAGTTCAGTTTAGTGTGTAAATAGTCTTATGATTGGAATATGATCATATGCTTTTAGACAGCCTACAAGTTAAACCAAAATAAATTTGTAATAGTGTGTAAACTACATTAGAAGATTTTAAACATTTGGTATGCCTAATTCATTTTAAATTGATTTCTATTACATTTGTTGGCATTTAATAGCATTTATCCTGCAGTTGTCCCTACTGAAATTCCAAAAAGATTGGTACCAAGTAGTTGCGTGTAAAGTAGGTCTAGGCCTAAATAGGTGGTTTTTAATAGCTTATTTAGTGATGGGCCGATTCCTGAATTGGTTGATTTTGTTACCGATTCCGATTCTACAACTTTGGTTTCAATTCTCGATTCCGCACTCGATACTGATACCTGTTAAACATTCATTTAATAACACATATATATACCTTATGTGTGCTTCTCGCTATCCCTATAAATAAAGGAGCATGTCATTTTTATTTAATCTGTTTAAGATAACTATTGCTATTGCATTGCTATTGATTAAGGTTACATAGATTAGGTTAGCCTATAAGGAAAATAAAATATTTCAAAAAGACATACATTTTAACAAATTGTATTAAATTAAATTGACACAACAATTACCAGTTTGAGTAGGCCTAAAATGTTCACTGAGGTCTTTGTTTGCATAAGAATTGGTACATCTAGGCCTACAATTAATGTTCCATATTGCTTGAGTTATAGTCTCAAAATCATCTTCAATATTGTCATCATTAATATTAGAGATGTACGTTATATAACATAACAGGATGAATAACAGTGTTGCCGCCCGATAACTGTTGTCAGGTCATTCTGTTGCGGCGATCTCCCTGTTATTAAAATCGAGTTTCATTGCAACAATGCCACGGCAGCCGGCAGCGGGCAGATCCGCAGAACAAGAACAGAACGCCGTTTTTGAAAAACTAAATAGTTTTGACGGAAGCGTCGACAACTAGATACGGTAGTTAGTTGTTGTGTGGGAGTGGGACATGAAATAACCGAATTATTAAACTCGTCGCCACAACTTACACATGTTATGTTACGTTACGGCAATATTGCCAAATAGTAATAAACTAAACAGGCGCTGTGTATGTTGCGCTGTGGAGTGTGGGAATGGTACGTAGGTCGGAAGTCTCACAGGAAGTATACGTATTGTTTGCTATCAAACCTGAGTTATTTTATGCGTTTTCACATTAGTTCTCCACTGATTTTCAGGTACTAAAATTCTCCATTATTTTTGTAAAATAATGAGCAAATGTATTGTAGCAGTACACTTATGACTTGTTTCGATTTTAAATATAAAAAAATTCTTAAAGTGTTGTGTTTTGTTTTAATAACCTACAAACATTCAGTAAATGAAGAGGGAAATCATAGTTTAATTTTAAACTATGAATAACTTAAGTTTCAAAACAGTAGATAATGCTTTGAGAAATAAAAATAAGTGGATACTGGTAATTATATTAATATATTTACATGTTGTAAATTATCGTCATTATTTTTACTTAAATTATGGCTTTTTCCAATTATTATTATGATGTTAGAAATTTGGGCAATAATTCTATCATTTTAATTTAGCCGTTTCAATTGCTAAAATACCTACTAAAATTAAGTTTAGCAAATATCTAATTTATTTATAGATACTGTACTACATTAAATGCTTTAACTTTAACTACATTTAAAATCAATTCAATCGATTCTATACAATCTTAACAATAAGAAATAAAAAACAAGACAATGTTTTATAAACCTCCAACACATTTAATAAACGATTGCTGAGACGCAACAGCCGTAGACAACAGATTCTCGGCAATGAACTCTCGGCAACGTTGCTGAAATAACAGGATGCGGCAAACTGTTATTGGCGGGTGAAAAACGTTGCCGTTGCGTTGCTGGGAAACAACGATAACTTACATCACTAATTAATATAACTTAAATTACTTAAAGAATCACATGAAAGTCGTGGATGGAGTTCATAACATCCCTGGAACGTAGATCATAACATAAACCATTTTAAACAACTCACTACGCACGCACAGCAAACAAACAAAAAAACAAAATTATAAGTTAAACAAATAATTTGCCACTAGGTGAAACCTGTCGAAATCGACGGTTACTTTCAAGGCTTACGGCTTACGCTAATTCATCTAACTGCGATAAATTGAGTGAAATTATACATATTTTGAGCATTTAGCATTGTTTAAAGATTAATAAGTGTAAAAACAATAATGATATAATTGCGTTAGTTACCAAATATGGTTGATCATTCAATGAATAAAATATTTCCCATACCATACGTCGTCGGAGATAGTATGTTATCTGATATCTTTTCCTTTGGAAGAACCTTTAAATAGTATTAAAATCGTATTGGTGGATCTTTTGTAGTTAAACACTTCCGTGATTTCATCAGTGTAATGCAGATTAATCTATGATTTTATTTGAACAAAATATATACATGTTTGTTGGGAAGACACATTCTAACTTCAATATACGTTACAGTGTAAGTTTGATTTTTCAGTTCATATCGTACTTCTGTGCCAATGAATAACCCTCTAGCACAGTTTTGAGGAATTGGTTGTGGAGTTACTGTTAAAGCTGGAATTCCTAGACATGGGGGATGTCAGTTAGTTGTCTCAGCCGTATCAATTACATAAAGTTGTCAATATAATCTGAATCTCTCTACGGAATGTTAGGTGTAGTGGAATATACTTGAAGTGAAGTTGGCTTTTATTCTTGAACTGTTAGGGGCCTCCTCATTTATATGGTCGTGTGGCTTCATTGGCAACAAATAATGCAAATGACATAGCAATGTGGCATTTCCAAAAAGCAAAAATAATGTAAATTGGCTGTTACGTAAATATTGACGTTTACATGCATGGTTAATCAACGTATCTTATAAAGGATGATGTGAACTAGTTTAAAAGGAATATGACCTTTCTGTCATGACAGTAGCTGCTTAAATAGTATATACTAATTGGGCCATTTTTTACAGCCAAAATGTCGTGTTATTTTCAATAATGTTACCAAACCCCAGTGGGCCACGGTCCGTAATATAGGCCACTGTAAATAATTTGTCAAGATAGATACCATTTTAGGCAAGGTTTCTGTGTTTGGATTTTATTAGACACGGTAAGTGCAAAATAAAATTTTTCTGCAGATGAATTTTCTGTTGGAGAAATATAAGCCGAATTATAAATGTCACAATGCGAGTTTGAGCATTTTGTAACTATATGGGTAAGTTAAATAGATTTTTTTAGGCTGCTGCTCAGTGCACTTTAAGAATATATATTTTAGAGATAAATTAAATGGTTTTTGTTCCTGAGTAGCGCTAGTAAACATGCACAACCCTTTTCGTTAGTCTAATAACATTCGAAGGCTCTCTAAGAGTTCAAGTTCTTATTTGTATACATATCTATATTATGTTTTCACTAAGCTGAATGAATACATCGAAGTAACCTCTCTGCAAAGTCTGCAGTATATTGCAGTTTTCCAGCTTAATGACTTTCAAAATCATGCAAGTATTTCTACATAAATATTGTAAAATGTTTTATCCAGTTGCTGTTTAAACTACTATTAATTTAACAAAATATGGACACGGCTCAAATGGGCACCGTGCCCTTCTGCACTTGTAGGCTAATATTTTGTATTGTATTACATAATCGAAGATTTTTTCAATGATTGAAAACATGTATGACAATAATCTCATGAACCTATGATGATCTGTCTAGAATAATATGATAAAATATAGGGAGAAGGTGTGAAAAAGGCAGACACCAACCTGTAAAATAGATATAACATAGTTCAATAAGAAATAATTGTAAGAGTTACTGTGATAAAATTATTTTCCACTGATTTCGTAATGGAACGTTATATTGCAAAACATGACATGATACAGAAGAAAATAAATTTTAAAATCAACAAAAACAAATGCCATTTATAACGGGCGTAGAAAATTATGAAGTCACTCTTTTTATAACTACTTGACTCGAGGTCGAGAAGTTGGAAAAAGTCAATTACTCATAATTCAAGTAATTACTCGAAAGTAGAGTACTCGCCTACTCCTAATTTCTATATTGTATTTTTATTTCAGCAAAGAGACTGTGGCAGACAGGAAGAATTTTGTTGTGCGATCAGCATTCAAAGAGATTGTGTCGATGCCTGATGGAAGCAATGTTCGCAAAACCATCGCCTTAGTCATGGGTCAGCTTCAGACAAAACTGCTCTCCTGTGCTGATACTGAGGACGACACCAAGTCCCTCATCAGCATCGCAAATGTAATATTGTGGAATCTAAAATCCAATATATAATCTTGACTAGACACATTTCATTTAAAGGCATGACATAAAAAAAAAAAACTAGCTGTTTATTATTCAGGGACCATTGCAGATATTTTCTATCATGGAACTAGTAGTTTACAATTATCAATGTGTCGATTCCAAAATTGATCGATTCTTGATACCAATACCGATACCTGAAAAATCTATCCTCTATTGTCAATACCGATACAATTTTTTAATTGTTTTACCAAATTTTCTGAATTGATTGGTTGTACTACACCAATCCCTGTATTTACGTCCTTTCATTAAGTATTTTTGAGGTACTGGGGTGTTTTTCTAGTAAACAAACAATTTATGCAGCAATGATACATTTTTGAACTAGCCAATTTAAGTCTAAACCCTTCTAAGCACATTAAAAAATTTCCATATTAAAGATAAATTGTGACACAAAATTCTAGGGGGGAAACAAACTAGTGTTCACCAAGTTAGGCTAGGCCTACCCCTAGAACCGGTCACACTCAAATTTCTTCCCCAGAGTGCTCAGAAGGAGCCGAAAAAAATCCAGGGGTCGATACGAAGTTGTCACGGCTTTGACTGATAAATTTATTAAATTTAGTGGAAGGCTCAGAGCTCTAGAATCGTTCGCTTTGTACCACATAGTTGACACAGTTGTTTGTACAACATAGTTTCATGTAAAGTGAGCACTGAGCACCTCATGAATTACTATTCAAGCTCATCTGTTTCAATGATGCAAGCTTCCCCTTCTCAGTTTCATATACAATTGTGCAAGAGTAATGCATATTAAATTAAGAAATGTTATTCAACTTCTTCTAGTTTTGCTAATTATTTTTCTATACTGTAAATTTTAGTGATCATTCTTCCAATCATTAAATCATTACTTGTTAGTAGGGATGGACGGGATTGAATTTTTAGTTCGGGACGGGACGGGACGGGATTTTTATTTCCTTCCCGATTTTCGGGACGGGACGGGACGGGATTTTTTTCTGTGCATAAAAAGAAAGTACTGTATTGCAGTTACCAAAAAAAGACATACGAAATCAATTTTTACCATTTTTGGCACTGATCTATAAAAACCAAAAAATGGGTAACAATTTACAGGTACCTATAGTAACTTGGGACTCGCGGGTCACGGGGTGATCGTCTGTATGACTCACGGTCACGGCGCGATCGTCGTCATGACTCGCGATCACGGCACGATCGTCGGTATGACTCGCGGTCACGGCGCGATCGTCAGTATGACTCCGCGGTCACGGGGTTATCGTCGGTATGACTCGCGGTCACGGCATGATCGTCGGTATGACTCCGCGATCACGGCGCGATCGTCGGTATGACTAGCGGTCACGGCGCGATCGTCAGTATGACTCCGCGGTCACGGGGTTATCGTCGGTATGACTCGCGGTCACGGCATGATCGTCGGTATGACTCGCGATCACGGCTCAATCGTCAGCATGACTCCGCGGTCACGGCGCGATCGTCGTAATGACTCGTGATCGTCGTCATGACTCGCGATCACGGCGCGATCGTCGTCATGACTCGCGATCACGGCGCGATCGTCGTCATGACTCGCGATCACGGCGCGATCGTCGGTAGGACTCCGCGATCACGGCGCGATCGTCGGTATGACTCGCGGTCACGGCGCGATCGTCAGTATGACTCCGCGGTCACGGGGTTATCGTCGGTATGACTCGCGGTCACGGCATGATCGTCGGTATGACTCGCGATCACGGCTCAATCGTCAGCATGACTCGCGGTCACGGCGCGATCGTCGGTATGACTCCGCGGTCACGGCGCGATCGTCGTCATGACTCGCGGTCACGGCACGATCGTCGGTATGACTCGCGGTCACGGCGCGATCGTCGGTATGACTCCGCGGTCACGGGGTTATCGTCGGTATGACTCCGCGGTCACGGTGCGATCGTCAGTATGACTCGCGATCACGGCTCGATCGTCAGCATGACTCCGCGGTCACGGCGCGATCGTCGTCATGACTCGCGGTCACTGCGCGATTGTCGGTATGACTTCGTCTCCTGCGTTTGCGGACCTATCGCTCGCAATAACGGCGTTATCGGCACTCGCGAAGCGGAAAAATCGCCGACGATCGGACCAAATCCCGTCCCGAAAAATTCCCGAGTCAAATGTAATCCCGTCCCGATAATCGGGAATATTTTTTTCCCGAAAAATTCCCGAAATTTCGGGACCCGTCCATCCCTACTTGTTAGTAACTTCTGTCTACAAATTAAAAGGTCTTACACCAATCTGTTCTAAAATAGAATCAAATTAAAGTAGTACTTGATAAATAGACAATTTAATACACTTAGTATCTTTAAGAATTTGAATTCTTGTAACAGATTTGGGGCTTACTTTTAATGAACCTGCTCCCATCTTGTGAAGAATTTGAGGCACAGTCAAAAGCATTACTACTTGGCAGAAAAATATATGAGAACAAAATGCTGGGTAAAAAGAGACACATACGATCGATCTTGGTGAACAGAGCTTATCACCAACACGAAACTATCATCATCCTGAGTGTTCTACTGAGAACGGCAACTCATGTGAAGGTGTTTGATCATCTGCTGGAACTGTGCACAAGCCATTACAGTGACGTAAGTGAACCTGTCATACACACACAGTTGTACAGTAATTATATGTAATGTTGGAAAGATTAAGCAGAATTTACTAAAACACTGACTGTAATAGTATATTACGATACTAGTCCTGAAAATAGTGTCTCACACGGGATTACCATACAAGTCCGTTAAACACATTTTGAACGAGTGATGTACGATATTTTAGGCCATACTACTAAATCTGTACAAATCCTTATATGTTACCACCGAGTAAAGGACTTACAATCACTAGTAATAACCTCTAAAAGAGGTTATGTTTTTGTTTGTAACGACTCATTGCCAAATAGAGTATAATCAGCTGTTTGGTGTCCGGTAAAAACTTATTACAGTACAGTAGTACATAATGAAACCCTATTTGATTAAGCTGTTGACAAACAGCTGTTTTCTGGACTAAATCCTTGCGTGGGAAGTTCGTCAAAATAATTTAGTGTGGCGTAAACATTATTCTGGACTTTAAAATTGATCTAAAAAGTGTTGCATGCCAGCTCCCCCTAAAGTAACAGTTAACAAAGTGGTTGTAATCCCTACAAAAATCCATTATTTGTGTAAAGTTATTGGTATTTTAGGGAACCAATTAATAATGTGACCTTGATCCCTTCCATTTTGTGTGCATTTTTGGGCTAGCTGGAGTGTGTGTATGGACCAATAATGCGGTTTTCGGTCTAGCTTCCCCCACTCCTGACAGGCAGAAGCCGACATAGCCCATACACTCAGCATTATAAAACACACCTTTTTAGTTGCTGCTCAAATTTTGCTAACGCATGTCAAACTCTTTTTACTATTCTAAACTTTATGTCTGTTTTGTTTCTTGCAGAAAATAACACATTTGAACTCTTTAAAAACTACACATTCACTAAACTTGATTTCAGATGTTTTTAGACAACTGATGATGTTAGTTACAAATTGTACTTGGCATGTGCACATTTTAATGATACATTTGGGCTTGTTTTTTTTTTTTTGTAGGTGAGGAAGAATGCTCAGGGTAAATTGAATTATTCCTTGAGACTTTATTCAGACAATTCAATGTTGATCTCCAAACTCTTAGATATTCTGAAACGAGACTCCAACATTCATCATGAACAGATCAAGGTAAGAATTTAAAGGTAAATAGAGCTAATCTTTAGACAATTGAAATTCTTAATGTTTTAAACACTTCTACTGACAATTGAACTTCATATGCCGGCTAAGCCTTATATCACAATCCTATCTTAGAACCTTTCCTTAAACAAAACCAAATTTTTTTATGTTATGATAAAAGATTAAGTTCTAATTTGAATTATTTAGAAATAATGGGTTGGCGTTCACAGTAGGCCTACAGTCCAACCTTGATATAAGGAACCTCTATATCATGAATTCCTTCATGTATTTTTTTTTTTTTATATCCTAGAATTCTCCATAAGACACAATGTATATTTTAACTCTATATAACAAACAAACCATATCAACAACCTCGATTTAACAAATTTTTGACAATCCCGGCAAAAATAAAACACCTCAATATAACGAATTTATCATTGTCAGAACCTCCAGACAGCGAAATTAACCTATACTTAACAAATTGTCTGGGTCTTTCTCTTGATATAAAAAACCCCCACATTATTGTTTTTGAAAATCACCGTTCCTGCGATGAAAATAAAGTAGAAGGGTAAAGTCAACGCTTGTGCTAACAAACATCTGCTCCTTTTACACATCTGTCTGCTGTGCGCTATGTAACAACTGATTTTATTAGCTAGGGACTGATGACGACGCAAGGCTTAGTAAACTGTTATTAGGCAATAAGTAACTACGGGAACTTGTTGAATTGGTGTATGAAGAGAAACCTAAGAAAGAATATAAGAACAAAGAGAAAGAATAGCAACATCGTTATCTTTATATTCTTTTTACAAGTGTTTGTATTATTCTTATGTAGGTTATGATCATACACTCTTAGCGAGTATCTCATATAGGGAATAAGCTATTACCGTAGGTCTCATGGTAAGACCTGGACCTGGGACCGATTTACTTTTTTGTTTTGAGGTCCCCAGAGGCCAAAAACACCATCTGTTCAAATTCATATATATAACCACCCCTAACCACTCTTGACTCTGCCAAATGTGCTAATACGTTTTAAAACAGCATTAAAATTTCTTTTTAGATATTTGAACTGATGCCGGACCATTGAATGCTGGATTAGCAGGCTTATATTGAAATGTAAAAAAAAGTCTTTGGAATACCTTGTTGACTTGTTATCCAGTCTTGTTGTCCACTATATATAAGAAGCTACAACTATACCTTGTACAATTTTGCTTGTTTCTACTTGTCAATGATTAAGTGTGTTTCAGGGAGCCTTGTACGTCCTGCTAGGTCCGAAGGATCATCCTCTGGTCATACAGCGGGAGTGGGGCTTACTGAAGCAGCTGTGGCCAGCTTTGGTGCAAGCACAGCCCTCAGAGAAGCCCTCAGTCATCAACTTGCTCAATGCACTGAGTGACACTGTGCGCAAACACTTCCACACCCTCAACATTGACATCCAGGTGAGAAATATAAATGCAATAATCAGTCCACTTGCCTGCTGTGCTAACAAGCAAAAAGGTCCACACCCTTAAAATTGACATACAGGTGAGAAAATATAAATGCAACAATCATTCCATTTGCCTGCTGTGCTGACAAGCAAAAAGTTCTATTGCGCTACTATCGGTGGACCATACTGCCAATAGGCCTTTGGTCCTTATCCTATTGGTACGTAGGCCTACCCAATTATCCACAACCAAATTTCGAGGCCGACTCTTGACACCGGTACTTTTCCCAAGAACCAGTTTAATGAATGTTAAGTTAATCATTGGTTATCAAATAGAACAAAACAAGTTTGTTCTTAAAAAAACTGGCTACAGCTGGTCCAAATACATGGAAATTTCTTCTCCAGTATCCAAAAGTCAATCCTAATAACAATCAGAATTATTTAGATAGGTAATAAGTTTCAATCAGAAGGCTGATTCACTATCAGGCTCAAAGTGAAATACAAGTCAATACCGGAAGTCTTAATATGATTGTTGTAGGTGTTGCCATATGATGATTAGAGTGTCCAACCCTCCCTCTGACAACTTTGATTTGATATATTGCATTTTTAGCACAATTGGCCTTAACACGTTCGATACCGAGCGTCGCATTTATGCGACCCCGCGGTCATTGCCACGGACCAAGATATACAATTTAATCTTACATATAGACCGGCTGTCACATCGGTTAACAGTACACGCAGACCACGGGTGAAAACCTGTTAAAAAGTGATCATTTTTGTATTACTCTGCAATCGTGTTTGTAAATAATATATTCTAGTTTTTTTATATTTTTGACAACCTTATGTAATGTTGCATATTTGCGACGCCCGGTCTGTAGCGAAGACAATAGTTAAAATTATTATATTTTTCTTGAAATAGCCCAAACGCCGCTTATATGCTACAGTTCATTTTTGTTTATTTTTTTAAGTGAAAGTAAGTAAAAAAAACTTTTTTTTCAAGAACAGTTTGTAATTGAGTAAATATAAAAGCTACAAAGGATAATTCTGCATAGATACATACAGTGATGCAGCAAATAGTTATTCCAACTATCATATGACGTCACCAATCACCATATCCAAGCGATGCAGTTGTGCGACAAACATCCCTGTAGACCAGTGCAAAGAATTCAGGGCCTTCAAATAGACCGTTACAATGTTACAAAGATATAAAAGCGTTTAGATTACATTGGAGTACCGACGCAAATATGCGACGTGAGTCTATTTTAATGTGACTAGCCGTCGCATATATGCAACGGCAGTCTATTTTTTTAAACCAGCCGCCGCATATGTGCTTCGCTGGTCCATATGAATGAAAGATTTGTTACCATTGCGGTAGCGAATGTGTTAAAGCTCAACTAAGAGGGAAATATAATTTTATATTATTTACAGTTGAACAAATTAACAACCATTGACAAATCAAAACTTATTTGTCTTTTACATTTTCAGATTGGGGAAAAGGGCGAAGAAGTTTGCAAAAAGTTGTGGAAGACCTCAAATCCGACCCCAAACATTCCTATACCCTCTTCTGAAGACATTATTTCCGCACAGAAACGTTTGAATGAGTTGAATGAACGAAACAAAGCAGATTATCTAGAATTGCTAGACACACTAGGCACTTGCATCAATTCAAATCTGTAAGTTTTGCTATTCAAAATACTAGATAGTTTTCATCATATGAGGAACATTTCCTTAGCTGTGTATGTAAAATTTTTTTTAGTTAACGAGAAATTTGTCTTAACTATATAGGCCTACGCATGAATTTTAGTAATTTACATGTAGTAATGAATATGTATAACGTACACAGAGCATTTAATGCTTTTGTTTACGTCGATGCTCATAGGTAAAACTAACTATAAGCCAGGCCTCTGTTGAGTTATTAATTGACTTCTCATATGTTGATAAAATGTATTTTGAATAAAATGTTTAGAAAGTTAAAAGTAAGATGAATAAAATGTATTTTCCAGACACTGGAGGCATCATTCTCTGGCCCTAAACTTTCTGCTAGATCTTGGACACCCGGACTGTGCATATCCTCCCCACATGATCCGTCACATTCTGCACACTCTAGTTCATGATAACATTGAATTCAGAAAGGTTTGTGTTTGCTAGCCCGGTGTAAAAGTTGTAGTTTTGTTAGCAGTTATTATTAGTTTGTTAAACAGGCCCTTCATTTAGTACTTTAATGAGAAAGTAGGTTTCCACAGTCAAAGTTAACTGTTGGATCTTGGTCTTCGGGACAAGACTGTGTCATTGAATTGACAAAAATACTTATTGATGTGTCCAATGTGTTGATGCAAATATATGGTGTTGAGAAGGAACATAATTCTTTTTTATTTGACTGAGGAATTTTATTTAATTTTATATCACGTTACAAAGTACCTTTTCCCTATTCCGGTTCAGGTGAACTCCACAATCCTTTAAGGAGGAGTTTGACAACATTGTTCAGTCAAGGAAGCTTATTATTAAAATCAAGTATTTACTCTTTTTTTAACTAAAGGGTACTAAATAAATGTGGTATAGCACAAAATATACAATGTTGTAAGGCATATCAGTCCTGAAACTGCACATTTATGCAAGTTTGTATGTGTACTTAATCCGTTGCAAAAAGGATTAATTCAGATATAATATTTACAGTTTAAGAAAATTTTGTTCAAATTTAGAGTTTGTATAGCTATTTTGGGATTGCAGGTTGCCATTAGATGTACAATATTTGTGCTGAAACAGCAGAAGCGGAAGCACAATAAGCAGTGTGTGGTACTACAAGACAGCAGCAGCAGTGGTAGAGTGCCTTATGGTGACAGAGATGACAATCAGTGGCTGCAGTACAACAGTTCTACAGTCCCAAGATCACCTGATGCCTGGGACCAGCCCAGATATGTACACAATCAGTACGTCAGCTACTACGACTGGCCCAAGTGAGTCACACACTGCTTGTTTGTATAGTCAATTCTACAAGCTTCCTAACCTCCTACCCCTCCCATACAAAAAAATACCCTCGCTGCAGCAAACCTGAGACTAAGCGAATTTCCATCCGTCTGAATTGATTTTCAATTAAATCTATTTAAATAACATTAGGTTTAACGAGTACGTAAGTAAGCTGCTACAAGGAAACGAATAAAGTATGGTTTTCAGTAAAATATTAATAGCTTAGTATAAAATAAATTTTCAAATAAAATATATATATATATATCCATAAACAAGCAAACTACAACATTTTACAATATTCTCCATAAACATAGGACAAACCCCCCAAACACATAGGACATGTTTTTTTTTTTATTTTCTTGGTTACCAATAACTGTACAAAAACACTTTCATATACTAAATTACTTGTTTTTTAAAGCTGTTTAAAAATAGTCTAGAGAGACATTGGGAAATTTAGTGTTTTGAGGGTCAAAAATGAGAAAGCCCATTTTTTACCACATAAAACCCCCCGTAAAACCCATGGTCTGATCGTTCTGGTTCGCAAACTTCAAGTTTATCCCGCTTTACACCTTTAAACCAAATTTCATCAAAATCCGACAGAAATTTCTCAAGTTATCGCGTTCACGGACGTATAATATATATTTGAATGTTTTTGGCTTCTGGGGACATCAAAATGAAAAAGTAAATTGGTCCCGGGCCTAGGTCTTATCGTGCCACCTACAGTAATAACTACTTACCTATAGGGAAATTTGCTAATATGATAATTAATGATGTCAAACAGCACCCAAGAGTTTTTTAGGGGGTCGAGCTCAGATATCATCATATCTAGATGGAAAAGAGTCCACTGTTGTACAAGAAACTTAAACACCATACATAAAAGTTAAAATATTTCTCAGTTAGTGTCAGTATTTCAACCTAAGCAGATGTGAGTTGGAAAAACATCTCAGCCAGTTTTCACTTTCCTGTTTACAAACATAAAACCACAGAAATTATTTCAGAGAGCTGAAAGTTTACAGTCCATCACAAGAACAACCACCACTAGACAGAACAAGGGAAGAGCTAAGTGCGGGGGAGAGAGAGGTGGATGACTTCTTCTCAGATCCAAGGATGATTGACAAGTTAATGTCATTTTTCTCTTTAGAGGATAAGAAAGGAAAGGACAAATTCAATGGCATGCGATTTATCCTGTTTAAGGTAGGTTACTGTGTATTGTGTTACTTCAACAATATTTAATAAACCAGACTATTGTAAAGTCACTACTAGAGATGGGCCGATACTAGGGGTGTGCGAGTACTCGAATCCTCGAGCTTTTTGGTCGAGCTTTTCATTATTCGGCTCGGCTCGAGGCATTTTGAAAAAGCTCGAAGTTCGAGCCGAGCTTTTAATACTAAGTCAAAACTAAAAAAAAAACACTTAATTTGGGTCGTAATTGAAAACAATGTTATCACAATTCTACGTTGTTCATGCATTGGAGGTTTGATACGCACGAACCTCAGCTCAGTCAAGACGCAATGATTATCGATCGTAATTTTGAGGAGATAGGAAAGAGACAAACTACCACCTATCGCGTTGTCTTTCTAACACAGCTATTCGTATCGTAATATACAACGCAGTGCGAGTGCGTGATTGGCTCGTCGCTATGACGACACATGGTTGCCGTGACAACCTACAGTGCGCATTGAGCACTGCGCCTTGTGTGGGAGGGGAGATTATACCAACAAACTATTTCAGGAATTCTATTTTGGGACGGATGAAAGATAAGGAAGAAACAAAAAGTGGTTACGTGTGCAAATGTAGTGGGCGACACAATAAGGCTGTAAAGAGTATCGTCATGCCGTTGTTCCTTGTTTGTTTACTTTTCAGATTCCTTATCAAACGCCCCTATCTGCTATCTCTCTTTCTCTCTCTCTCTCTCTCTCTCTCTCTCTCTCCCTCTCTCTCTCTCTCTCTCTCTCTCTCTCTCTCTCTCTCTCTCTCTGCTCTCTCTCTCTCTAACAATGTACTGATTAAACAGATTGTGGTTGACGACTTTTCTACTTATAAGTTTCCCTGCAGTTATTTTAGTTCAATCAAACCCATAACCTTTCTAATGTTTATCAAAATAATTAGTTAATCTGTTTTGTATTTTATTCCCTTTAAACCAACCCCTATTTACCATCTATATTTTATAGAATAAAATGTTTGTTTATAAAGTTTGACTGGCCACACAATTTTGTACCTATTTTATTTTGTTTAAAAGTAACAGTTACTTTGATGATTATATATATATCAATAAGTGGTGCGGGCTGTAATGAATGCTTTTTATTATCAAAATAAGTAATGAATTATTAATTTTTGATAATACATGGATCATTGAATACCATAATGTGATGTAGTTTCCTATTTGTAACTTGCAAATAATAATAATTGATAGTTAATTCTGGAAAATGAAAAATAGTGATCGCATTCATAAACCTGTTGTCAAAACAGCAACACGGGTGTAAGGGTTTATTGTTTCAGATGCAAGGGTGTTTCAAGGACAAAGTGTTGGGCCTCCCGGCTTAGGGGGGGAGGGGGGCGGTGAGACTGTGTGAAGGGGAGGAAACTGGTTTTGGCTATTTATTGATTAGTTGCCGACCCTTCTAGATAACAAAATTGAGTGACAGTATTAAATCATCGTGTTCTTTATTTCATTTCTTGTTTACTTTGTGTGTTATTCTATTAAATTTAGTGTTTTGGTCTATTTCCTCTATATGTAAATTATATCTTTTTTAATGTATAAGTTTACTTTTTACTTGTCCCTCCACCTTTTGGGATCCAAACCAACCATGTTCTTTTTTTGATTAATACGATTCATAAAACAAAAATATTTTGTGCATGGAAAACAAAAAGAATAATCACGTGTTTTAAAATTTATTTTGTATTTATTTATACAAAATAGGATTAAATATTCATAGTAGTTACAATATACATTATGTAATCGAGTTGCTAGTTGTTTTGTCGTCATTCAATGTCGCGTTGCTGTTCTGTTATGAAAGACAATTTGATTGTCTCAGTCTGCACAGCATATCTCGTCAGGCCTTCAATCGATATCCTTTTATTTCTTGCATCTTAATTTAGTTCAGTTCAGTTCTTATCGTAACTATCTACTATTTGATGTCTTGGCAATTCTCAATGTTTTTAAACATATTAAAATAACATTGTGTTTATTTAAAAATTGACAGAAATTATTATTATTATGCACTTTTTTAAGAAAAAAAGTTTAATAACTTAGATAAGGTGACGCTGGGAAAAGCTCGGCTCAAAAATGCTCGAGCTCGAAAATTTTTTAAAAAGCTCGGCTCGGCTCGGCTCGAGGTTGAAAATCGCTATTCGCACACCCCTAGCCGATACCCAAAATTGTCGATACCGATACCACCAAAGTACTCTCGATACCTATCTTACCTATCTAAACTGTTACTGTATACCATAAAAAAACACAATATGTATGGTATCAAACTTATATTTTGGTGTTAAAGGTTTATTATTAATTGCAAAAAACAATTGCAAAAATATGGAACTAAGTGTTTATTTTAAAATAGGCCTACTGTAAATGTTTGAATTTGACTAAAGCATGAGATCTAATAAAGTTTCCTCTAATTCATAAATAGGATTATATAAGTAAGTATTTATCTGTCATTTGTCAGCTTTTGTATTTATTTGAAATTGCATCAATTGTCTTAGTTAACTCATTAAGCTATTTAAATTTTAAAAAAATTACGTATATCTTGGCCTACAAATACTCTGTAAGTTTTTTCCCTAAGAGAGTAAAAACAAACTTCCTATATAATGACAGTTCCTCACTAGTTGTATGAAAAACAGTTATATATCTTCAAAATTTGTTCAACTATGAAAAAGTCACCAAGTCTAGCTGAAAACACATTCATAAATGAGGATATTTTTGAAAAAAAAGAATAACTAATCAAAGAACCTTTTTATTTTTAACACTTTTATTTCTTAACTTTTCTTCCTTGAAAATATCAACAGTTTTTCACTTATTTTTAATTAAGGTTATCACTTATAATTTCTCAAAAGAAATCTACGTGTGAGCTATGAAGAGCAGACAAGAGACATACGTCACTGCCACAAAAACTATTCTCTACTGTGAATGAATGAACTGAGTGTTTATTAGTGTGAAGCCCCGCCCACCGTCTAATGGGACATTGGGTAGGAAAAGAGAAAGTTTGCTCTAAAGCCTGGTTCACATGCTCACCCTCGGCCTCAGTCGCTTGCAGATTTCCATTACACAAAAGTTCCTGAGTGTTAATTATTTTAAAACACTGTAAATGTTTGAATTTGACTAAAATGAGATCTAATAAAGTTTCCTCTAATTTATAAATAGGCTTATAAGTATTAATCTAAGTCATTTGACAGTTTTTGTATTTATTTTTAAAAGCAATTGCAGTTATACTTTAAACAAAATTACATACATCTTGGCCTATAAATACTTTTTGTAAGGATAGTCTTTTTCTCTAGTGAGTAAAAAAGATCGTGGTCAAGGAATGACTGTGCTAAAACAGCACATTGTCAATTTTTACAAAAGTATTTTGACTGAAACCTGGTATTTTTTAAAGACATTGTAGAATAAGTCGACTTCTTTGGAGAAAAGTATGGCAATAGATAGGTTTTACTTTTAGCCTACAATAAAGATTATGTTTTGGGACTAAAATCTCCAAAAGAGTGCTGTTATAAAACATGCCATAGTTTTATTTAGTAACAAAAGTGTTTGACTATGTTCCCGATGATACCAAGAGTATAGGTTCGGCAGAGTGGATTCACTATGAACCGGCCTGCCTGGCCCTTATGCACGACGTCACTATAACCTCGGTGTATGGGTGTCAACAATGGATTGGAACAATCAATGTTTTGAACCTGTCTGTAACTAACCTAGTTTTTTATACTCATTATGTATAAACGAACACGTACTACATATCGGATCTCGAATCACGATAATTATCGACACCCTTCCCTCCCACAATAAGCACATAAAACGATGTCTAAGCGATCGTCATTTGCTCCATTGAAACACGAAAGTCGATTGGCTGACATGGTAGTGCATTGTCGCCTCCTGACCAATGAGAACTGTTGTTACATACTTTTATTGTCAACATTCACCATTCGTTATAACATTACAAAATCGACATGGACTAAGGCTTATGATATTTTTCAATAAATACATTATGTCATAGTAGCACTTAAAACTTCACTAAACTATTTAATCAGGTAGATAGTACAGACAAATATGGACCTACTTTTTGGCGCAATATAAAGCAAGCCTAACCATACGACTGTTAAAGTTTAATGGTTGAATATAATTTGTCTAATGATGCGTATAATGCAGAATGAAACTGAACATTTCGACGTGTTTAGGTTATTTATTTTGTACTAAAAATAAAAATAATACATCTAAATACCTGACTTATTGTTACAGACATTGTTTAGTATAATTAATTTTGTGTTGGCAGGACATTCGCGCGCCGGTTGTCTCATGAGTTGAGTCTGACATCTTGAAATGTAGATTGTGTTGTGCAATGAGCTGAAGAAAAACAATGTCACCGTGGCTGTTTTGAACTAGATAGTTTCTAAGTTGGCTATGAAAATTGTTAACCGTGATTACAAAACTAATACTGTAGCTATAAAGTAAATAAATGTTAAAATAAAATATTTATCCCTGTCGGGTGATGGTATTATCGGAATCGACTTTTGACAATCGAGTCTTGTTACCGATACCAATGTCCAAGTGGTAACGAATGGATGGTGGTATCGATGACGATAATCAACACATCCCTTTTTAGAACTGCATCGTGACCAAGTCGATGCATGCTGGATCGAATCGGGATTCCATGCATCGAATTGAAATTTCAATGCATCGCACTCGCTGCACACCACTACCTATCACTATCACCCAGTGTCAGCTGTCGCTGTCAGTGAAATGGATGACGCAAGCGATGTCTAGGTTGCCGATTATTATTAGGCCTAGTATGTCAATATTGAAAGGGGTTAAGGGATTAAATAAAACTCTCAAACATTTTCCTTTCTTGTTATTTACCTGTCAAATATCAACGAAATCGGCTTAACCTCTACTACTCGACTCGAGTTGCGAGCATATTTAACTAAGTAGGCAAACAGCTAGGATTCGTAACGGCAACGGCAATTTACCCGCTCTGAACTGACTTAATCCGCACCGATTCGTAGCATTCAAAGGTTCAGTGTCAGTATCGGTATCGAACCCAAAACAGGCAAATATCGAGTATCGGCCTACCTCTAGTCACTACATATCTTCTTTAATCATAGTTCATTATAAAACTTCAATGAGGTACACCTACTAATTGGTAGTTAAAACTTATCTATTTAACATCAAAATATTCTTCTGAGAAAATACTAAATTGTTATAACAAGTTTTTTTATACAAATTCATACTATGGTTTGCATCTACTGGGACCGCTCTATCTTTTTGTTTTAGGATCTCTAAAAGCCAAAAACACTGTATGATTGTAATGTATTTTACCCTTGTCTATATAGTCACAGTGACTCTTGTAACAGTTCTCTGATTTCTTTATTTACCCTAAGGCTTTTTAAATTTGATGAAAATGTAATTTGTCATGTTCCTCATAGATGCAAAACTAAGTAATCATGAACAAATGTAATTCATACAGGGCGAGCCTCTAAGTTTAAAATTTCAAACAACTAGTTATTATCTTGGCCATATTAGAATATTTCAATAATGAAACTTGAAATTTGCTTAGTTTACACGTTTGCCGCTACGTAATATTTCTTCATGGCATCGTTTCTTAACATCGTTCTTAGTTTAATTTAACTCAAGTGTAAAAACGTGACTTGTTCACTATGCTTTACTTGTTCAAATCTCAAAAAATGTTTACACTGTGGATGAATATCAGTTTTGACCAACTATTGAGTGATATTAATTTGTTTGACCAGAACTTGTTCCGTAACTCTGGAGACAAGTATGTGGAGTTCTTCAAGCCTCATCTAGAGCGGCTGATAGCAGACAAACAGGAGAGCAACCAGAGGTGTGCTGCTGAGATTATCACTGGTGAGATACCCACTTTACCATCATAAGGAACTCATATTCATTTATACAAACAAATTAGTGTCAAACTTCTAAACACATTACCAATACAATGAATGGATAAAGGATATAGACTCAAAACAAGTAAGAAAGGTAAAAACCATAAATTTAGACTGTGAATTTGACCGCAGCAGATCGCTATCTAGTTGATCTCCTTTTATTGTAATTTAGATTAAACCTAAATCTATTTTAGTTACTTAGCTAAATAGCTGAGTGATTAAATTAAAGTTTAAAGAGGTTAAATTACCTGTGTCCGCCAGTCGATCCTAATGTGCTGTATCCTAATACAGGAGATGCATTTCGGCAAAATTAAATTGCCATTATCAGTCCTAATATAAGGTCTTGATCTTCCCCGTTGGGTGTGTCCTGAAGTTTTGAAACACGTACACGAACTTTACACTTACATACATCACAAATAAAACATACATATACACGGTAGGCCTACTTTTATTTTCGTTACTACGGACATGTAGACGCGCGTCGTACCGAAAACACAAATTATATCCTGAGGAAAATCAGCAGCTTTTTCTCAGTTTGAAAGTAGGCTGAACCTAATTTTTCTTTAAAGGTTTGAATCAATATTGGATTGTTTAAATATTCGCTACATGTGGGAAATGTTAAGCATTTCATTGAGAAATAAAGGCCTCTCTTTCTCAAAGTTGTTCTTTTAGCAAATTTCCCGTTTAGAGAATAAGCTATTACCGTAGGTCTCATGGTAAGACCTAGAACTGGGACTGATTAACTTTTTTGTTTTGATGTCTCCAGACGCCAAAAACACTACCAGTTTGAATTCCAAAGCATACAAATATGTCTAATAGTATAGCACAATAACTCGAGTGAAAACCATCTGATTTTGATGACATTTGGTACAAACATGAATAGATCAGAAAGCGGATCATTAACAAACAAATGATGTCCCTGGCCCGAATATAAACATCATTTTATTATTATTTAACTGGAAATGTCAATCCAGCTGCTATAAGCTTTTAGTGTATGCAATTATGCATTTGGGCCAAAGATGTAATTTGTTTATGTTTATATCCATATCTCTTTTTGTTGTATTTTTTGTGGGTACAAACAATAATTGTAAACCTACAATTATTCGTATGAGGTTCGCGAATCAGCATGATGGACCATGGAAATGGGGCTTTTTGGAGGTTTTATGGGGTAAAAATTGATTTTTCCCATTTTTGACCCCCATAACATAACATTTTGCAATTTCTTTCTAAAATATGTTATAGTGCTTGAAAAACTAATAGGCTAATTGAGTAGATTGTAGCGTTGTTGTACGAAGAGACAGTTTAGCTGCGTTTACACCAAATTTTGGAACAAAATGTTCGTAGCTTTTTGTTGGTAGCACTTGTTTAGAAAAAAAAAGTTTACAACAGATAGAGCACATTTCTTTGATTTTTTTGGAAATAATTTAATCACCGTTCCCAGGAACACAAGGTCAGTCCTCGGGGGTTAAGTGTTGTAAACAGCGTAGAAGTACAGAAAAATTTGTTCAACAAAAAAAAATTCCTCATGTTTGGAACACCATTTCTTTGGTACCGACTTCTGGTGGGAAACTAAATTTCTATTGTAATCGCTAAAACACTGTTTCCAACACCATAATAATTATGTGTTGCTTGGTTTTTTTGGAACATTAGCTGTAAACACGTGTTTCTAACTCCAGTGTTAACGCGGCTTTACAGCGAGAATAAAAAAACTATTATTTTTATGGAGAGCAAAACTCTTGTACTTTGCTTGCTTAGGAATATATATTTGATCAAATTTGTTTATTTCATAAAGCTATTAACATTTCAATAACAAACACACTAAATTACCATACCTCTAGCAGCAAACCTAAGCACTAATTAAAATTAATGATATTTCAATAGAAAATAAATCTGACAATTTAAGGGAATATTTTACTGAAAATCCAACTAGGTAAATGGACATTCGCTAAGTCTGCAGGATTGCTGCTGCGGGGGTCTGAGGAGAAAATGTTCTGTTATAGTTTAAGGTAAAATAAAGGCTGGAGCTTTTGCTGCTTTTAATTTTATTTTTAACGTTTGAAATATAGAAGTATCTATAAACATAAACATTGGGCAACATAATTCCTCTGCTCTATCTTAGCTACTATCCTTTTTGTATTTTATAAAAAAGGGATTTTTTGAGGTTTTTAGAACCAAGCTAAATCTTGTGTGTCAGCTATGTGATAACACTGATTATAATTTGGTCAAGGTATGATCAGAGGGGCGAAACATTGGCCATATGAGAAGGTGCAACACATGTGGGACTACCTGCTGCCTTTACTGAGGACTGCCTTCACCAACATGACTGTGGAAACTGTCAATGACTGGAGCGTGATGGCGGCCACAGCGTCTGTGAGTTTTAGTTAGCCTATGTATTTATTTATAATACAGTGCACCTCATTTAGTCATTTTATTTAGGACTACTGCACTTTCAGTAATACAACTTCGGTATCAGGTCCTCAAGAGTAAATAAGTAAGCTTTGTGAATTACATTTTACAAATATTAAACAATTTTACGCTGGCTAATTTGGCGGGATCAGGACCTATTGCGTCCAAGAGTGTTTTGCTTTCCTTTACCTCTTTCAGAGCTGTGCAGTCATAGAGTAGATGACCTGTGGTCTCCTCGTACTGCCGACATTTCATACATGCAGTGTCTCCATTATAGAGACTTGTTGGGTCGGGCGTTGCCAGACTATTGAAAATGATAATTACCGGTACTGAACATAAAGTCATTTTTGCGACATTAGCGGAAACACCGTCTCCGCCTAATATAGAATACAACTGAGGTCTGATGATTGCTCCTGATGTCTGCCAAATGCTCCTCACATCATCCGATTGCTCCCAATGTCTTCCTACCACTCCCAATGTCTTGCCAATCGCTCTTGACATCTGACGATCTCTGTTCATATTCCACGGCTGTGTAAACATCATCATCGACTCTTGCGGTCATGAAAACGTCATCGTTGTCTTGCGCGATCCCGGCAAAATCATAAACATCTCACGTGGTCGTGTAGACATTATCTTCTACTCCCGCGGTTACGGAAACGTTGTCTTCTGCAATTGCGGCAAATTTCTGTTCACATCCCACGGCCGTGATTGATTGATTGATTTAGTTGGGGCGCACCTTGTCCTGATGCACGTCAGCCGCAGATGGGCTTTTTGTGCTCCCCACTTGGTGCGTCAGAGCCCGTCAAACCTGAGTTGCTTGATGAACTGCAGCATCCTATCTATGAGCTCCTCCTGAGGAAGGTGTCTGCCCCTTGTCATTGTTCCAAGAGTGTTTTGCTTTCCTTTACCTTGTTCAGAGCTGTACAGGTACAGTCATAGAGTAGATGACCTGTGGTCTCCTTGTACTGCCGACATTTCATACATGCAGTGTCTCCATTATAGATCCTCAAGTGATGCAGGTGCAGTTTCAGGGAATCACGGCCTTTGACCATTTGTGATTACTTGTGTCACTAGTGATTTGCCTTAGTTGCCTCCTATCTAATCGTAGAGCACTGGAGGTGACCGTCTGGGAAGGGGGAAAGAGAGTAAGCCTGCTTACCCAATGGTGTTGAAGTCTTCCTGTGTTCCTCCTGACCCCATGGCATGACTGAGTCACATGCATCCCCACAAGAAATTCCACAGAAAGGCTGTGGTCCCACAAAGTCTGAGGCTGACACAACGTTTGCTAACTTGTCAGCCACCTTGTTCCCTTCTATTCCTTACTTGTCAGCCACATTGTACCCTTCTATACCTTAGTGTCCAAACCCAACAAAATGTTACCGTGTTGAACCTGCCCAGGGCGCATACTGCAGTGAGACAGTCCCAGACCACCTTAGACTTGAAGTTCAAAGTTGAATGCAAGTTAGAGTTGAAGTGCAGGAGTCGAGCTCCTTGAGCGCAGCCTGGCTGTCTGTGAAAATGGAAATGTTGATGTCCCCGAAGCCCAGACACAGGTTCTCCCTAGCACATTCCATCATCACAGTTATCTTGGCTTGGAACACAGTGGGGTGTGTTCCCAAGGGAAGACAGTGAGGCTCCCGGACAGTTGCTCATTGCGCCCGTGATGATGATGGTCGTATGGACATGAACTAGTCCTTCTTAGGCCGTGTAAAATTATCATCGTCTTTTGGGATCGCGGCACAATTTTGTTCATACCTGTGGACGTGTAAACATTATAATCAACTCCTGCAGTCATTGAAACGTTCCCGTCTTCCGCAATCGGGGCATAATCATTAATTATTTCGGCCGTGTACCGGTAGACATTATTATCATCTTTCACGATTGTGGCAGAATCATAGACTCCTGCAGTCGTAGTAGTCTTGTACGATCGTGGAAATATCGGTGATCGTCCGATTGTGTGATCTTTTGTAGATGAGTCGGGTATGGGAATAAACTTTTGGTAGTCGATTCTTGATACCGATACCAATGTCCAAGTATCGGTGGTATCGAGAATCAGTATCAATAATCGACACATCCCTACTCCTGAAGTTTAAATTTATTCCAAGTAAGTTTGGTTAATGTAAATGGTTTTAAAATTGATGAAAGACAATTCTAATTACAAAACATATATATTTACATTGATGTTATTTTTACACTTTTTGAAATATTTGAACGAAGTTTCTGAAGAGTGATAATGATGTAATCTAATTTTTTCATTTTTTCCAACTTGTTGATGATTTCAGGAGAACCGTGATCCAAACCGCCACCACTGGCTGTTGGAGTTTCTAATGGAAGATCCTCTAAGACAAGAGTCGTCTTTTATCGACTGTGGGTCTGTTCATTAGTTTAAAGCTGTTGCTTTTGTTTTTATTTGTAGTGATAACGTACTCATTACTTTAGAATGTAAATTAGTATTTTAGTACCATTCTGCTATAGCATATTAACAGTCATTAACACACTAATGAAATACACTTTTAGTTGTAGTCTAAAGGAAAGAAATTCTAGAATGTAATAACTGAGCCTAAGATAAACTAATGATTGATATGTGTTGATCTTAAAATTGAGACTAAAATGAATCTTATTCTCTAGTTATCCAATCATATTTATCTTATTGTAGTTCCTTAGATTTTTAAGAAGAGTTTTGGAAGAGTTTTATTTTTTCTTGAGATAATTAATTTATTGTTATTGAAGATAACGTTAGTTTTGAGACTGATAAGAAAGATGCTAATCGAAAAATGTATTAACTTAATCTTGATTACAGTCAATCTTGACAGAAGAGACTCAAAACCTATGGCCTGAGTAAGATACCGTAGCTAGTTCTTATCATGGGCAATTCTAGCAGTAGAGTCACTTGATTTACATTCTGGTAGATTGTAGACATTAACGTTAAAAGCATGTCGGTTTCGGTCACTAATCTCAGAGAAAAAGTCCTCAAAACTCAGAATAGAAGGGGTGTTTTGAGTTTCAGCGGAGTTAAGCTTGGCTTAAGCTCATCCATTTGAGTTTTAACATTAGCTAGGCGAGTATCAATACTTTCACTTAGTTTTTCAATACCAATGTTGATAGATTTAACATCTGCATCCAGCTTCCAACTCTAGCTTCAGAATCCTTTAAGCACTCCTCAACCCCCATGAGTTTTGAATTGACTACCTCAACCTTCTTTTTGATGTTTTTCAAATCTGTAGATTTTTACGTGTTTACATTCATAACCAAGATATTTACCAAATCAGTTAGTTTCTTTAGTTCAGAAAGTACTGGGGCCTGAGAATCTTCAGGTTTTATTATACAGTCTGCACGACTACAATTGTTGCCACAGTATCAAATGTAAACTCTCTGAGTTGACATATTTGTACTACTAAACTAATTAATGTGCCTCAAGAAATATATTGTAGGCTAATGGAACCGATTTGTGTCAAGGTTTCATAACATTCATTTCATGAAAATTTTACTAAACTTTACAGATTACAGACTATTCCTTAGGCCTATTGTAAGGCACGTGTACTATAGATTTAGCTGCTTAAATCATGAAATAGCACACTATAGAGTCTGTTTTTAATTTCATTCTTAACATTTCATTGACACTGTGACACACTTAAACTATAAACATACGAGCTGTAGCTCTACTGGCTGTTATTCCTACAAATTAACCAATTCCACAAGTGGAATAACCAGAGTAAAAAGTAAAGTATTTTAATCACATTGAATGTTGACAGTCGTCTGAGTGCCTTACAAGGAGCCTTAAACCAGCAGGAGTGGAGAGTGGTGGAGCTTTTCAACAGGTTGTTGGACTACCTCAGTCCCAAACTGTCCCACCCTTACCAACTGTTGAGGGAGAGAATCGGAAGGTAATATCATGAATAAAACATAGGCCTACTCCCTTAGTAGACTTCTCATCCTTATGTAACAGCTGAATCCAATTTTATTCTTAGTTCTGTCTGGTGCACTGTAGAGGCTGTGTTTGTTTAAATTTTTTTTCTTGTTATTTCAGTAATTTATAACCTCGTTTAGCCAAATAAAACAACCTAATCATAAATGATAACTCGTCACCTAGTTATATAACCAAATAGTAAACACAAATCATAAAATTAACCTTAAAATAATAGAAACAAAATTTTGTCGACACTAGGGACAATGCCGATCAGTGCCACCGGACACGAACTAAAAACGAAAAATGAGCTTCAAAATTTACAATGGGATGAGGAGTCTACTTGTGTTGGTTCTACGGTAGTAGCTAACATGCAGTATGCACCACAGAATAAAGTCTAACTATTTCAGCACAATTTAACTTTTGTAAGATTTCATTTGTTAAGGTAATGAAACAAATTGTAGCCTAAGTACCTACTATTCTTACATTTAATGCAAAATGTAAGAAAAACAAATAAAAAAATAGAACAACTAAGAATGTGTCGATTCTTGATACCACCAATACTTGGACATTGGTATCTGTATCGACAATCGAGTGTCAAAAGTTAGTTCCTATACCGATAGCCAACATCTCTGTAATGATCGGGCGGTCAGAAAATTACCGCTATTATCGCGATTGGAAATTGAAAATTTCTAACACTACTTCCAAACTCCATCACCCCCTTGCACACATTTTCTACATCCAAACACTTTACTTAATTGACGTCCATCAAGTGGCGATAGACTTTGACAGCGGTTGACAATTAATCAGAAAATGCAATTCATACTTGGTGGGAGCGTCAATTTTCTTTCACAACAATTATGAATACATGACAAGAGTAATTTTCCCATAGAACTGGTTCTAATGGTAGTAGACGAAGTAAAGAAACGCAACATGGGCCTTAGATTTGAACTAGCTCGCTTGGCTGCAAGGGCCTCTAATATAACATCTGGTTGTTATTGTAGTGTGCTGACAAACATCTTTGCCCTGGACCTGCCTACAGTAGGAGCCCGCAGGACAAGAGGTCCACAGATAGCCAAGTTTGTTGCTGGAGTCATGCCTCAGTTGCAATGTCTTTATTCCCTCTCCGAAGCCTCTACCAATAACCATAGATCAGGTAAGCGTAAAATCTGCATTAATTATGTAACTACCGTAGTGTAGTAAGTGTTGTATAACAGTGGAAAATAGTTTATGTGCCTTGGTTAACCCGGAGGCTCGGATAATCGGTACTTTATTGTACTATAATGTATGTTATTTTTTATTAATACAGTGCAAATTGAATGTACACTGACACAATATTCACGTAAATAACTTGTTATCACTAATCAAACTAAGCTGAGAGCAGAGCTGATACTAAACTAAAAGTAGTATACAAGCAAATCCAGCTACTCCGTTTTCATGAAATATTTAATTTGGGAAAACGTTGCAAATATATAAAGTGATTGGTGTCAAATAATATGTATTTGTTCAATAAATATATAGAACGTAATATTCAAAATTCAGTTATACCATTGAGTCAAAGGTTGTACATAACCTTCAAAAATATGTTATGTACATTTAACCTAAGTTTTTTTTTCAATTTTGTTGTATTACTTTTGCCATTGCACCTGCGGTGCCCCACCCATGCGACAGCCCTGGTGGAAGGAATTAAGAAAACACCTCCCCTGATTGTTTTACTGTACAGTCCACAATTTTAACAGTTCATTTCAATATCTGTTTTCCATAATAATGCTTAGAAACAAATAAAATCAGGTTAATTGAGGAAACACCTCTTTAATGGAGTAAGAATTTAGCCATCTCTTTTATAGGTTTCAATCAAATTGTTTTAGCTTTGCTTTGTTTTGCTACTAAAATAGACCCAAAGTTCTCCTTCAAAAAGTGCATTAGTTAATTAAAAATTGTGTCTACAGTAGACTCCCTCTTATCCGGACTCCTCGGGACTGAGGGCAGTCCGTGTAACGGTTTTTCTGGTTAAACTGATGTCTTCAAAAAACTCGTTAAACGGACCATTTAAATGACAAGCCAATAATGATTATTACGTAGGCCGGTTTGGACACATGATCACTGGTCTCAAATCTTTCCCACGAGAACAGTCGTTTCAGTACCGTCCACATCCTGCTGATCTAGTCCGGTTAAACCAATGTGCTGATAAAAATTTTCCGGTTAAAGATATGTCATTTCCGCCGAGTGTAGTCCGGTTAAACAGATGTCCGGTTAAAAGGTGTCCGGATAAGAGGGAGTCTACTGTATTTACAAAATAAATGCTCATTGGTTTCTGGTATTGCAGCTAAAATGTATATGTCTTTCATATGCTAAAAATTCCAAATTATGTTTTGCTGTTTAAATTTACATGATATTCAAATATTTTATTATTGGAATACAAGTTTAGTTTTGTTGCTTTTCTCAACGATCTTAAAAAGTAAACAAACAAAATATTCAAACACTAGCTGTACCCGCGGGCTTTGCCCCGTTTAACTTCATAAGTGAGCTCGTTCGCATGACTCAATCACGTCCTGGTTGAAGTTCGTTTGCTACGCTCACTCACCTTTAGGTTGGAGCTCGTTCGCTGCGCTCACTTGCCTTCAGGTTAGCTTGTTCGCTAAGCTAACTCGCCTCCGGGTTGAAGTTCGTTCGCTACGCTCACTCACCTTTTGGTTGCAAATTAGCTGTTGTCATAAATAAATAAAAAAAAAATAATAGTGCTGCACCCTGTTGGTAATCCTAGTAACTTTAATGCCATTGAACATCATAGAACAGAACCAACTTGTTTAATTGAAACAGCTGTTAAGATTCATTAATTCCTTTTGGAAAATCATAAGGTTAACATTGGAAACTCCAGAGCCACTGGGGCGGAGCTCGAAAGCCCAATCAGAATAAAAACTATTTAGTTTTCCTATTTAATGCCCAAAGAATCGGTGTACCGAATTTCAGCTTCCTAGGTACATGGGAAGTGGGAGAATTAGTGATGAGTGAGTGAGTGAGTCAGTGAGGGCTTTGCCTTTTAGCCATCACATATAAGTATATAAGTATATATAATATATAGATAGTAATGTAATATCCCTCCATGAGTGCAATAAATGTATTACAAAAGAAGTAAACCAGTAAATAACTCAAATATTTTGTAATTTTTCAGATAGTAAAGAAGAAACTATGCAAGTTGATCAGGCAAGTGGAAATCAAATGTCAGAAAATGGAAAGAATACAGCTCTGTGCTTATTGAAAACTAGTAAGTGAGAAAATAAGATCATAGAACAGTCTTATCACAAGGTTCATATTGTGGTTAAAGTGGTTTTAGGAATTTTAAATGCAGAATCGCTGTAAAAATGTATTCCGCTAAGTTGTACAATAGTTTTATCATCGCCTAGCTACATAGAAATGGTCTGTAGGGCTCTACTCACATGCTGTCAAAGTAGCATATCTAAGTAGCACTAATTTAACACTCCACTACACACAAAGTAAAAGAGATAAGATGTGTATTCTCTCCTAGCTGTAGCTGGCTGCGTACTGAGTAGGAATATGATGCCAAAATGGTGGTGCACCATTGGCCAGCTCCTTACTGGGCCAATGCAAAACCAGTCTGTTACCAGCTTCAATTTAGCTCAATAATATCTAGCCATCCTTTATTTTCTTCCTTAACTATGAGAATCTAGATACTTATATGGATACACAACAGTTATTAATATAAGCTAAAAGCTAAAACTAGTGAAGATGGGCGGATCCAAGAAAATGTCGGTACCAGATCCGGATCCACAATGTCATAAGGGTGGGTTGAAAAAAACCTAATATTAACAGAATGCCAATTTAAATCATACTGTTTAAAATTAAATTGGTAATGTTTAAATGTTAATATATCTTATATATATAGAATAATCTCCAGTTGAGCCCAAAATCCCTAATTTTTGGGGGACACTAAACATTTTCAAAATAATAAAATAAAACATTGTGCTAAGTTTGCAGGACCACCAAAAGGGCATCTGTATATACAGGGTTATTCTAAATGATGGACCCATTTTTAATGCTTTATAACTTTTATACTATTAAACTTACCGCTATAAAATACACATCAAACGAAAAAGCAACTCAAAGAGTTTATGCCTTCCAAAGACACATCATTTAACAAAATCGATCCAGCAGAACTGTAGTTTTGATTGTACAAAGTTAAAAAGTAATCTCCATTTTTTTTTACCACTAGAAATTTGGAGGTTACTTGACGTTTTTGCAAATAACTTTTAAATGGTGAGGAAATCGACTAAAGTGGAAGGTAATATTCCGAAAGAGAATAAAATTTCCTACAATCAACTATTACGCATATCTTGAAAATACTCAATAAATGTAGCCTAAATTTGGCTTTTAATAAAAAGTGTGAAATTTAATGTTTGCTATGTTTATTTTCTACATTGAAGACGGGGATTCTCAATTTTTTTTCATTTTGAGGCAGTTTTTGGTACCTTTCTTGAGTATTTTCTAAAAACACTTATACTTTTAAAAAACATACTTTATTTTAGGATAACAAATTATCACTCATATCTAAATCTCAGAGGATAAAGTGTACACAAACATTCTTTTCTGTGCTTTGCTTAAAATTAGTTTTGCATCTTGAACTAACTACTTGTACATAATTAAATATGTGTTGGATCTTAAAGTTATTCTTATTTTGTACAGTGGTCAAATGGATTACTAACAGTGTTGTCCGGGCTGACTACAGTGCTATCCCAGAATTCTTTGCATTCCTCCCTCTTGTGTCTGTGATGGAGAATTATGAAGCAGACGACGAACTGAACAAAATCTGTGCAATGATGCTAACATCCATGGCACAGTCGCTGACTCTACCTGAGTTTGTGTCTACTGCTCTGGCTGCCATCAAAGAGGTAACAATCTTCAACTGTAGTGTACATACTACATTATAAAAGGGTAGATACAGAAATGGTTCTCTTTCAAAGTATCTATATTTTTGAACCCACTATTATAACAATGAAACAAATCAAATTACAGATAATAATTAACCACTGTTTTTTGTCTGGAACCAAAAGTGATACAACTGAAATAAGAGATAACAAGGAGATCCCCACACAATTTGCTCAATTTAGTAGAATTAACAACTCGTCTCCAAACATAACAAATAATACAATAAAATATTCTTTTTTTCTAGGCATAATCTGAATCAGTATTGTATTCTTAGTTCGGCTTGGTTATTTTTTTAATTAGATGAAAACTCTTGCAGCTAGCAGAGAAACAAAACCAATTTGCACTGTTCTAAAACATTATTAAAAATTTCAACCAATTTGAAAGTTTCTGTAGCTAAGCACGGGTATTCCGCTAGTAACACAATAAAACATATTGATTCGGATCATTCAATCTAATTATTCATTTTCAATAAACAGCACTACACAAGAAAATAAATTACTCAAACTCATCAAAATTCCTTTTAGATATATGCCAGTAGATGAAGATGAGATAGGAAAAATAATTTCAAGTTTGAAAAATAAATAAATTAGTGGTCATGACGAAGTACCCCTAAAACTAATCCAATACGGTATGAAATTGGTAACTATAGCCCTGTATCAGTTGCCTTCGATATAAAAAATATACGAATGTGTAATGTATAATCGATTGGTTGATCATCTTTATTATAACAATCTTTGACGAACAACAGCATGGTTTTCGTAAGGGTAAATCTACTACTACTGTTCTTTTAAATTTTTCAGAAACTATTATTGATGCTATTGACAAAGGAAATAACAAAGTTGGTATTTTTATGGATTTATGAAAAGGTTTTCATAAAAGGTTTTCAATAGCATCTCTCATGAAGTTCTTTTACATACATTACAAGCTTTAGGTATTTTTAACACTTCTTTAAATTGGTTTAGATCTGTTTGGTATTAGCGGTTTAGCAAATTTAAACTTATAAATGCGGGCAGACAAAATCAAACAAAAAGGTTTGTGAAGCTACCAATACCTATACCGCAGTCTGGGAGGCCTTGGTGTTGTCCAAAGCTGGTCCAAGAGCGGCATCAACAAGGTAGATGGTAGCTGTCATCGTAGGAGCGGTGTAGACAGTAGTGTAGCGGGGGAACAAATGACTCACTCAGAAATAACATAAAAGAGGGGTGTATTGATACATAAATGATTGATACGTGACAGAGTTTACAAAAACAATTCATTATGGGGAGTTGGGGTAGCGTGTGTCTGGGCCCGACGCCGGTCAGTGCGTGCGATGGTGGGGAGGCATCGTCTTCATGACGTCAGTGAGCGACAGTACTAGTAGCTCCACAGAATAATATTTAAAACAGAATTTGGTACTAAACAAGATCATATCTTTTAGAAAGAGTGCAATATGTAGAAATAATGTTGAAAAACCAAAATACGCTAACCAAGTATATATATCAGAAAATTTAACTATTAAACATGGAGTTCCTCAAGGCTCCATTCTGGGTACTTTACTATTTCTATGATATGTCAAAGGAATGCCTTCAATTAAAAAAAAAATATTTTAGGAACAGAAGTCAGTTTATGCTGATGATGCAAACTTGGCAACTGCTAATAACGTTGCTACCATTTTTTTCAGACTGTCTAAAACTCTTAAAAGCCATATCGTAATCTCACTAAGGGCCAATCCATATCAAGTGATCCAATAGGAGTTGCTTGACCATTTTTAATATTTTCAATATATTTTTTTATTGTTCCCTTATGTTTTGGAAGCTTAAAAATTATTTTATTAAATTTGTATTCCTTCTCATTTTTTTGGAGCGACCATTTTTGTCTTGCAGCGCACGACAATTTTAGAGTTTGCAGACGTTAACGTAAACGAACATATCTTTTAACCTACTTATGTTACAAAAATGCAATCAAATTCTTTTTGTTCAAAATTTCCCCATCTTCAATTTTTATTATTATCATAATCAGCCTAATTTGTACCCATATGGATGAAAAATACCCCCGCCGCAGCAAACCTGCAGAGTAAGCGAATTTCAACTTGTCTGATTACATTTTTACTAAAATATTTCCATAAATAAGACATATTTATTCCCTATTTAAATAACATTAGATTTAGGTAAAAAGTGTTTCTTGACCATACGTCAATAGTATAGGATGAAATAAATAAATTGGCCAAATGTTATCAATATATATAAAACGTTTACAAGATAAATAAAGAAATTTTACTTTGACTAAACACTCTAATACACTGAATATATTCCAAAAAACTTATCTCACTAGATCTACATCACTCAAGACTCAAGAACACATAAACAGTCTGCATGTGTGAACAAATTACATGAGAATAACTTAGCCGGCTTTGTAAACAACAAATGTTACGAGATCAAAGATGCCAACCTACAAAATAAAAAAATACAATTTAAAAAATAAAAAAAAGATATCACAACAATAACATTGATTAATGGCCTAAGGTAACAACTGTTGACAGCCAAGAGACAACTTTAATTTAAATAAATTTGCTTAAGTGATACTTCAGTTGTAATAATTGATTCTTCAGGACGGATTAAAAAGAGATGTTGCAGATAAAACCGTTAATGTATTAAGAGTCCTTGAAGCCTATTCATTCTATCTTATAAAACAATTTAAAGAAATACAAAGAACATTTTTAATCTCACAGTATACTAGATAATTAAATTACAATCACGTTGATATTTCAAAAAATATTTTGAGATGGTAAATAACTCTTCAGTGGCTGTTTAAAAATAAAGAAATTAACATTGCTCTTATGGCAGGCAAATCCAAGATGGCCGTTGGCTTCCATTAACCCCCTTGGAAATCAATTCAAAACAACAAAGACAATTTTTAATCTTATAGTATACAAGATATTTAAATTAAATCATTTTGGTGTTTGAAAAACAATTTTTGGACGATAATTAACTCTTCAGCAGCTGTTGAAATTATCCAAGATGGCCGCTAGCCTCCAAGGACTCTTTAAGTATGTAAATATTAATATATATATATTATATTATTATTATTATAGTATATTAAGCATATAAATCCTCAGTAAATGTTAATTTTAAACATAATTAGGTATTTTGAAACACAAAATAAAAGTTCACTAATATCATCATCTTCGTATCTTTTGATAGCATTTTTGTTTATATTTTACCACCAGTTTCCTGTGTTTTTTAACTATATAGTAGGCATATAACTAATAAATCAAATCAAATCAAATCAAATCAATTTATTGTTGTAGACATTTCGCAATGCATTAACAATCGTCACAAAATACATAATGCTGTTGCTGTTATTAATTACAGCAAATGAATACTTACATGTAATCAATCAATATAATAAGACAGTACAATAAAAAAATATATATATACATATAAAATACAGGCACAATTAAATAGAAATATTTTGACATGTAAAAAAATCCTCCACTGTATACAGGCATTTTTGTATTAAATATGTTTTCATTTTTTATTTGAAAGTTTTCAAGGACAACTCCCGAGACTCCACTGATAAATTATTAAACAATTTAGCTGCCATGTATTGAATGTTTGTTTGACTCTTTGAGTATTTACAAAGCACTGTTTGTAAGTTGTCTTTAAATCTGGTTTCATAATTACATACATTTTCATACATGCTAATACATAGTTTTACTTAGTGCTCAATTTGGGGAGAACGCGGCAGAATGGAGTTCCGGTACCTCTCTTTCAGAAAGATAAAAAATTGGCATAAATAAATACATAAATAGGTTCTAATCACATTAAATAGGTTACAGTTCCGGTACCTCATTTTTAACAAATCAAGCACTGGTTTTACTACACAGTTTCACCTACACTCTGTAGTAGCACTTCGTGCCTAGGTGACACCATACACAGAAACAGATTTGAAATCACAACATGTGTAGAACATGTTTTCTCTCAGTTTGTGTTGGAAAGCTATTCCTTGATGATACAACTCTGTGCAGGTGTCTGAGATGAGTTCCTGGTCTGCCCGGGCCACGTGTCTGGAGTTTCTGCAAGTGTTTGTATTCCACAATATGGCCACCATAGCCAGTCAAGACGTCTGGGTTTCTCAGGTGCTAGAAACTTGCTTAGACTTAGGATCAGCATATGGATTTTATATATTTTTTGGATAGACTCATTTATCATCCGTTGTATTTTATAGAATGAAAACTGTTAGACAGCAAACCTATCTATTGAACATTTTTGTCTCTTAATTTGCTATACTAGTATAGTATACATTAAATAATAAATTTGAATAAACCATGATAAAAACTACAAACCGTCATTTAATTGGAATATTTAAACGGATTACAAGGTTGCTTTAGCAGTACACCAGTTACAGATACAGAAATATTACAACTGGCAGAGAATAGATTTCATGGCTCAAAAGTATGTGAAATTTAAACATTAAAATAATTGAGGTTTTACATTCAGAAAGGTTTAACATATTTTGTGTTGCAGGTGAACAACCTGGTTCTGAGGTTGTTGAAGGATGACCGAGTAGAAGTGAGAGAGAAGGCAGGGCAGGTGTTGAGTGGTCTCATACACTGTGGCTTCATATCTGACACCAACTTGCTCCTGGTAAACTCTCAGACTGTCTTGTTCTCATATAGCAAGTACCAAGTACACACTTAAACAAGTCATACTTTGCTCAATACTGTAGTTAAAAACAATCAATTGGTCTTCAGTTGTGTGACTCAGTTGCTCATATTGACACCCAATAGGCTGCAACAAACTACACCGACTTCAACGATAATATGTCGTAGCAAATATTACCCAAAATTTACTGCGCAAAATATAGGTGTTGTAGTTTTTATTTTCATACTATAAGCAAATTTCAACATATAACCCAAAAGTTAAAATTAACTTTGTTTGATCATAGTAGAGTAGTCTTAAAAATTTGACGTTTATTTAGGCATCTCTGATTCTGTTATATAGTAGACCCCCTCTGAACCGACTATGCATCAATTGCTGATCAGATTAACAGCTTCTGTCTGTACAAAAATAGAGGTTAGTTTGTCCGCCCTGAATTATAAATTGAATTATTATTAGTTTGATTGACATGCATCCAAAAAATTATGCTTTTGCAGGATGTTTCCTGGTCACTTAGGTCACGGAAGTCCCTGATTTTACTAGGGGGGTCACAGAAGTCAATGAAAAATAACAAATTTTCATTTCATGATCCTAAAAGTCATTGAAAGATTGGTCCTAACTAAAATAAAGTTTCCCAAACCTGCCTTTTGTTTTAAATCTTGCTGTAGGTAATGATTAAATTCGTAGTGCAGAATCAGAGAGCGAACATGTTTTGAAGGCAGGCCACCAGCTCAAAATTGTTACGGCACAAAATATTGTATGCCTGACTATCTCGTGTTCAACTCACAAAAATTTGTAACATTTAGTACCAAAGCTTGTGCGTTTTAATGTCTTCCCCCCCCCTAAAGTCATTGAAAAGTTAATGAAATTTAGTTTGATCAACTAGTAGACACGCTGTTTTGCCATGATCGCGAGCGAGGGACAATAATGTTTTAGCGAATTTCCCTATAGAGAAGTGGCTATTACTGTAGGTGGCACGGTAAGACCTAGGCCTGGGAAAGATTTACTTTTTCATCTTGATGTCTCCAGAGGCCAAACACACTATTCGTTCAAATTTGTATATACAGTATGTATTTATATACAGGGTGTCCCGCAACTCTCTGGAAAAATGTGTATAGCGTTATTGCTTAAGTCAAGACAAACACATTTGGTGCCTAGTTTTCCGTCCGTCTATATTTATGTGTTTTTTACAAAAATATTAATAACTACTGAATGGTTTGAGATACAGCAATGAGATATTTAAAAAATTGTTATCTTATTAAGACCTATATTTGTTAAAAATTATACTGAAAAATCATTAACCGTTTCAAAATTGCAGCCATTTAAAATATTTGATGCCAAATATCACGAAAACCGTTAACTTTACAAAACAATTGCAAGAGACAAAAAAGTTAGTAAATTTTATGTTGTTTTCAATGATACCATATTTGTTAAGATTAGATAAATAATAACAGAGAAATAACTTCTTTTCCAAATGCATGACCACTTTTCTCCATTTAAACAATGCTAATACTGCTTTTAAATTGTCTAAATATCTTTACAATAATCTGTTACACGTCAATCAGGTGTTTTGAAACATAGCAGCCGATTCAATCATTTGCTTTTTTATTTATAAGTATAAATTGTTATATAGTGGTTTAAATTACCTTGTTACTGTCAAAACGATCCTTTGTAGTTAGTAAGACTACAGCTGTTTCGTGCTGCGAATGGAGCACATCATCAGGTCAGAAGAATGTCAAGTAGTCTTCATATTCCTCGCAGTGGAGTTCGTCAAAAGTTTAATAATAAATAGAGAACAAAACACATAACACACGGAAACACAAAACATTTAATATTGGTCGACCAGACGACGGTAACAACACACGTGATACGGCGCCGGTTGAGGGTGAGTCGCGACTGTCACGTGCCGTCGGCGTTGACCCCTACCCCTACTCCAATGTTATCCTTATCTCGTTCCTTTGCTTTCTGTTTATTGTGTATATGAATAGCGGTGTTGTAGATGATGTTTGATTCGAATGATAATTGTTCATTTAATATATTCTGTGGTTGTTCTTTTGACGCCTTGTAGATTTCAAACTCCTCAACTGTATCCATGTATCGTCCTTTATTGCAGAGTTGTACTATTTCTAAATTATTGTCAATATATGTGTAATTATGGTTGGATGAAATTAAGTGGTTTGCATACGCTGATTTGGAATTTTTCTTTGGCATATGTTCCTTGAACCTGATGGAAAAAGATCTTGATGTTTGGCCTATGTAAAAATTGGGACAATCGTCACATTTTAGTTTGTAAATTCCTGTTTTGTCCATTGTATTAGTTCTAGACGGTTGTCGTTCTTTGACGATGGTGGACAGTTTATTGTTAGTTTTGAAAGATACGACCACATCATTCTTAGCCAATTCTTTAGTCAAGGTGTGGTTCAGTACGACACCGTAGTTCGCACTTACGTATATTTTACTCTTATCTTGTGGCATATTATCATTTCTATTGCATTTCTTTATCAGTTTGTCGATTAAGGAACTGTTATAGCCATTGGCGACTGCTATATGTTTTAACGTATTTACTTCGTCGTTGTAATCAGTTGCACTCATTGGGATGGAGAGTAAGCGGTGGACAAAACTATTGTATGCAGCTGTTTTATGGTTATGTGGATGATGTGATAATGAATGAATCGTCTGATCTGTGGTGGTTGGTAGGGGTCAACGCCGACGGCACGTGACAGTCGCGACTCACCCTCAACCGGCGCCGTATCACGTGTGTTGTTACCGTCGTCTGGTCGACCAATATTAAATGTTTCGTGTTTCCGTGTGTTATGTGTTTTGTTCTCTATTTATTATTAAACTTTTGACGAACTCCACTGCGAGGAATATGAAGACTACTTGACATTCTTCTGACCTGATGATGTGCTCCATTCGCAGCACGAAACAGCTGTAGTCTTACTAACTACAAAGGATCGTTTTGACAGTAACAAGGTAATTTAAACCACTATATAGTTAATTCAGACGATCCAGAGGCCATTCCACTATAAATTGTTGTTTGTTATATAACAGATCATGATGAGTGTTTACTTCAATAATTTCTGTAACAAAATAAGCCTACCATTCTTACAAAGGAAATTATCATTAGTGTGGCTTAAGGCTCTTATAAGATAGTGGTAATTTTATCTACTGTATTTGGATGTCGATTCACACATATTAGTCCAGTCACAGTTCCGTTACAGTCCAGTGACAGTTCAGTCTCAGTTGCATCCGCAATTCCTCAGTCAAACTGTCAGTCATTTGGTTTCAGTCACTCTTTTGTAAATTTCTTTACAGTGTTGTTACAGTCAAAAATGTTTAATTAAAACACAATATTCCATTAAATTTTCATCGTCCGTCTTGTTGATTGTTACAAACAAACATTACTTGTAATGTACGTGTGAATCGACCTTAAAAATAAACTGACTACTGATATAAAACTGAACCGATAAAAATTGCAACCAGAATATCACTGATGTATTGATAATTTACAAATACAGGGTGATTTGAAGCGACTAGCTGCCAAGCAGAAGTCACATGCGAGTGACGTGGCCAAGCGACATGCAGGAGTGTTGGGTCTGTGTGCCTTCATATCTGCCAACCCCTATGATGTGGTGGACCCCGTCCCAGAGATCTTCCTCATGTTGGGACGTCATCTCAACGACCCTCAACCTATACCTGTAAGCTAAATTAATTATTCTCGTTATTTTATCTTCTATTTACCAATCAATTTGTGTGTATAGTCATAAACAAAAAGAATTAAATATAGACTGTCAGCCGTTCTGCGGTTACCATAGGTTCTGGCGCACCAACGTGTAGTTATTGTTAAAACTAAACTGTTGTTATATTTATTGTTAATTGTTATTTGTTATTTAAAACTATAGTTGTTATTGTAGTTATATACATGGCGCTCCCAGCGGTGTACGCCAGAACCTATGGTAACTGCAGCACGGCTGACTGCCCATATTTAATTCTTTTTGTCTATGGTATAGTCAATAATATCAAGATAAGGAAATAAGTCAAGCAAGAAAAAAAATATAATTTTATAGTCATGATGGTGTTCCAAAAAAGAAATAAACCTTAATTATTGACAATTCTATCTGCATGCATATTAACAGGCCTTATGAATGCAATTCTGTCAATTGATTTAGGCCTATTATTGTTATAGTATGATAAAGTTAATTATTTATTTTTTATGATTTTTAAATGTAAAAGTTATAATGCTAGGTTTTAAAATAAACAAGTTTTCCATCGAGTATTTGACTGTGTTCAGTACCACAAAATGTTTGCCACAATGAAGGTATTACACACAACATACAGGGTGAGTTTTAATTGTCCCTTCCTCCAAATTTTTTCTACTTTTTTCCAAATACCAAACCCAGATCACTTTCAATGTTGGATATTAAGTACTAACTTCATTTTAACAAGGTGTTCATTTCCGGCTGCCATCTTGGATTCATTATATTGGATGCGAAATATTTTTTTTTTCAAATGTAAAGGTGGAGTTGTGACTCTATATTTCAAACTATATTTTTACCCTGATTACAATGCCATAATTTGCTTAGAAAAATCTTGATCTATTCAAAGTTATGAGGACTTGTTATAACTTTTTTTTAGCCCATTTTAACATTGTGCATTTACAAACTAAGACCATAATCTCAAAATAGTGCTAGATAAAGATGACTATACACCACCAGTCATTAAGTCATTGTCGACCTATTTTCACCTGGTTATGACGGATATAATTTTTTTGGCCGCCTTCTTGGAACCACCATTTTGAAATATGATAAATTATTTTAAATATAAAGGTGGTTTTGTGACCCATAATTTCAAATTACTTTTCTAAGCAAAACTTAATCCTGTTTTCATCGTCATATTTTGTTTTTGAAGTATTGAAATTATAAATAAAAAATTGCAATATTTCACAAAGACAACTTGATAACAAGAAACAGATTTCGGTATTGAGTTTAGCATAAAAAAGTAATTAAGTAAAACATTAAGTAAAAAAGTAATTAAATTGGAGGGGGGACAATTAAAACTCACCCTGTATATATTTTACCTATATACAGTAGAACCTCAATTACTCAATCCTTAATATCTCAAATTCCTTAATATCTTGATTTTCTTAAATCCCCTTGAAATCTTCATTAATCATAATGTTAAAAGTACCTTTATAAGTAAAAATTTCTAAATATTTAATCTCAATAAGTCGAATTTTTGAAATTTTTGATAAGTAATGACTAATGAGATTACCTTTATAAGTTGAAGTTCGCACGAATGTGCCTCATAATTTGAAGTTTTGCCTTACAGTGCAAGTCAGTTTGTGTTTTGGTTCCTGTTGAAACATGCAAATCCAACTTACTGTGTTTTGCTTCCTGTGTTATTTGGTAGGTTTTTAATGTACTCTATCAAACTTATTCATTAACTTAACTTGTTCCATACACTAGGCCCACACAATGTTACAAAACAAAACGTTAACTGAACTTAGGTTTAACCTCAATAACACAAAAATTATTATAAATTCAGTACTGTGTATCCATAAACAATTGTTGCTTAGTATTTTTCACACCAGTTTTTCATTATTTGTATTGTACTACTGTATTTGGATGTATGGAGCGTATACAGTTTTTATGTTGTGTAATTACTTTGTTGTTAAATGTTCCAGCTAACTATTGCTAAATAATAAATACAGTAGGCCAACTTTATATGCATTAAAATTGTTTTATATTGCTTCCACGATTATTATTCGGTAGGTATAAATAGTTTGAGTTTGATTTATAAAGGTTTAGCATATAAAAGTCGAGTTATAAAGGCCGTCACGTAACATCAATGTCAGACCCCAACACCTCAGTATCTCGAACTGAGCACCTTTATAACTCAAACCTCACTTGAAAAACTTGATAACTCAAATTTGTATCATACCCCCTTCAGATTCGAGATATTGAGGTCCTACTATATATACAAATGTTATATCCTATTTAAAACAGTTTAATGCCACTAATCATAGGGGATTGGAGTAAATTATTAAATATATATACTAATTCTGTTAGAAGAAGTTTTTGGTTGCTTAAGATTTCTTCCAATTAGTTTTTATAACAAGATACTAACACAGTTTTGATTTACAGAGTAGCATTAGAAAAACCTTAGGCGATTTCAAGCGCACCCACCATGATAACTGGGAGCAGCACAAACAGAAGTTTACGGAGGAGCAACTGGCTGTCCTGACGGATCTCATAGTGCCTCCGTCCTACTACGCTTGACAGGTACCACAACATCACTGAGTGATCAAACACTAAAACAAACCTAGGGTTTATTGTCCAATATTATCCAAACCCTGAAAATGTTAGTAAAGACTGTGATCTAAAATTCATAGTTTTGCCAAGGTCACTGGCACCAATGATGCTTTCTTTCCTCTATTGAAATCAAGAACTCCTCTTTGTAAAAGCTTGTTTGTCTCAAGCATGTATATATTGCTAAAATTAGCTGGAAAGTAATTGAACATTGCATTCCACATTAGAAAATGTAATATTTTCATACATCCATTTCATGTTTTACTATCTTGCAGATAATATATTGTCCAGCACTGATTATAGCACATTTGACAATGTCAGTGATTCATAAGTGGGAGAGGTTTTGTCAGATTTCCCTCAAATTGAACTTTTTTTATATTTTGGTAATAGCCTATTATTTGAAAAAGTCACTGGCATCAGTTATTGTCACTGGCACAAATAGTTATGCCTCAGTTGAACATAACTCTCATTTTAATTTCAGTAAAAACTACTTGAATCCTTACTAGCATAAACCTAATCTTGATAAAATAAAAACATCTACGTAGCTTCTCCCCACCCACTATCCTGTAGTAATATTACATATCAGTAATAATCATTAAGTTACAAGAAATTATTAGCAAACGCTCTAGTCTGTATACCATTGAAGATTAGATATAGATTTTTTTCTCCTAAACGCTAGGCACGGGCCCGGGATTGTTTTTCTCATTACTTCAAGCTAGACCTAGGGTTTGGGGCATTATCACTTAGATAAAAATCCATTGGTGATTTGGCAGGATTTGAACCGGGGACCTCAGAGACCGAAGTCCCGCGCTATAACCACTACACCAGCTCGCTCCCCAGATTAGATTAGGAGCTATGAAAATTCGATTTTCACTTAAATAGACAGTAAAACCCCCTCTCAACGGAGCAGGGCCTTGATTGGTACGGCCAAAAGATCGGATATCAATATCTTTTAGTCTGAGGGACATCGGTATTCAATCGTCTCCCGCGTCTTCGGCGACACCCGTGAGCGTAACTTGCAGTCTCAGCGACATCTGTAATCATCTCCTGCGACCGCGGCTACACCCATGAGCGTAACTTACAGTCTGCGCGACTTTGGTAATCGTCTTCCATGAGCGTAACTTGCAGTCTCAGTGACATCGGTATTATCTATTGCAGTCTTCTGCGAAGGCGGCAACACCCGTTATCGGCGACAGATGTGATCGTCTACTGTGATTAAGGCAACATCCGGGATCGGCCTTTCGGTTCACCGATTTTCGCCCTAGATAGGAAACAAGTAGACGGTCAGACACTAGGTCGGATATGAGGGGTTTTACTGTATTTAAATAACATTAGTTTTAACGAGTATTTAGGTTTGCTCCTACAAGGAGCGTAAAAGCAAGTGTTTTGTAAATAAAATCCTCCATGAGAATTTTACGTTTTTAAATTTGCTCCATAACCAATAACTGCTAAAACACTACAATATACTTAATTATTTGTTTTTTTAAGATCTCAAACATTTTTTGAAAAGAAAATACAAAATTTAACTTTTTCAGGGATAAATGGAAAATCCAATTTTTACTAGCCTATTTTTTTTACAATTTTAATAAATAAAGGTTTTGTTTTAGGTTTGAAAGTTTTGTGTTTTTAAGGTCAAAAATGGGTAAAATCAATTTTTAACCCATAAACCCCTGTTCCCATAGTCCGATTATGCTGATTCGCGAACTTGTTTGAATAAAAATAGGTAGGGGGGGGGGGTTTGGCCTCTGAGGACTTCAAAAGGAAAAAGTAAATCGGTCTCGCGTCTAGGTCTTACCATGAGACCTACGGTTATAGCTTATTCCTTGTCTGGGAAATTTGCTAAACAACTTGTTCAATTAATATTGTTGAAGGCTAAAAGAGGTGTGCAAGCCTGAGATTTTCAATCGAGCCGAGCCCAAACCAAGCTTTTCCTGTCATAAATCTACAAAACTACAAATAATAAGTTTGCGGCAAAACCTTAAATATCTCTTACGCCCGTGAGGTGATCATCATCTGACTTCTGCAGTTACGAGGATCGCGGCAAAATCTTGAATATCTCCCGTGATCACAGTAATGTTATCATTGTCATCTGCGAACACGGCAAAATCCTGTATTCATCCCAGTGGTCTTGTTGTTATTAGTGTTGTCTTTTGTGGTCACGGAAACATTATCATCGTCATCCGCATTCAAGGCAAAATTCTAAATATCTCTAGCGGTCATGTGGTCATCATCATTGTCTACTGCAGACACAGAAACTTCATGATAATCTTCCTCCATCGCAGAAAAATCCTGGATATCCTAGAATATCTCCCGCGGTTATGTACACATCACCATTGTGTCCTGAGATTACCAAAACGTTATCAACATCATCCGCAATTGCGGCAAAAGCATGAATATTTTAATCGTCGAATTTTGCAGATGCGTTTTGCGATCATGGTCATAAAAGCTTGGCTCGAGCTCGATTTTCTGAATTTGTGCCCGATCTCTCGAGTTTTTAGGGTAGGCTCGTTTCTAGCAGCTTGCACACATCTAGTTAAATGCTTACTTTAATATTCCTTTCAGGTTGTCTGGTGTCTTGTATAAATCCTGGCCGATTATACTGTATTATACTGGGCGATGTGAAGATGGTGCTGGAATTAAGTTAAGCTCTGGTTGTGTACTATTTAAAATAAGACCCTCATTAAACTGATTTAAGCATTTATATCTCACAAACACAAGCCCTACTTATTGTAATGTAATTAATTATGTTCTGTACAGTATAAACAATACTATCATTAATTTTATACAAAGATAAACTGTAATTACGGATGTCTAAAATGTTCTGCTTCCTTTATACCAGCCTTAAGTCTTACATTTTATAGTATAGCTTGATTTTATCAAGGACGATACATTTCACATCTGTTAATACATGCTAATTGTCTCAGTTTAAAATAAACTTATTGACCATTCAATTTTCCCCCATTTGAACCATATTGTGTGTTGTTCCTAATTTTTAAGGTCCGTTTTCAATAAATAAATTGTTTTATTTTAGCAATATTGTATATTATTTTTCCATAACTTAGTATTTATGAATACCTTAGAATTTTATTATATTTATTTTATTTATTTCTTTATGTCTCTATGTCATTAGCACTTTTTAAAGGTGGAATGTTAAGGAGACAGCTCCTAACATGTTGGTAATCTTACAGTGAACTAAGGTGAGGGTCAGTAGGAGCAAGCTCTTTTACTCATAAAGCAAGACAGACTAATTGTAGTACTTAATATATTCTTGCAAAAATTAAAATACGGGCTCAGGAGACTTTTAACAAGATTTGGCTTCTAAACCATTCCAAGAAAAAAGGAGACCATTCTTATGAGAGAAACAATGAATCAATTCCAAAATTTAAAAATTTCTAGTTGTAATTTGATTTTAAAATTATTACAGCCTCTGCTTGCTGTCAACTCAATTACAGGGTGATTTTAATTGCCTGTAATCAATCATTAAAACAATGCCTCTACTATACTGAAAATCTATAAAATAAACCAACATTATTAGTTGATTTGAATAAAAAATTATACTAAAAAATAATTATTTTCTTTTTGTATCTGACTGGAAGGAAAGAAATGTGCATAGTTTATAATGTTGTGTTGTGGGTGCTCCTTAGACACAACACAAGAAGAGTCATAATGTCATCCCATAAAAAAAAATTATTTTAAGCTAAGTGTTACAAAAAAGCCTTCTTATTAAAGGTGCCTTAGGTCGTGCATGACCAACTGCCACTGAAGATGAGTACTAAAAGAAAATTTAGCCTACCTTAATGGTCTGTTTGGTTCTTTTGTTTGAGCCAAGAAATGCAAAAAAAAAACAAACAAGTTTCATGTAGTAATCATCTCTGTAAATGTAAATACTGTAGTTGAAATGTTCATATCGCTATCAGGAACAGGTAAGACTTGAATTTGAATTCCTCCCCAAAACTCTCAATTTTGTTGAGCATTTTTTACTCTTTGGAGTTTACAACTAAAGTTTAGGGAAATGAAATTGAAATACAACTTATGTTTAAATATTAAAAAAAAATATTTTTTTTTATAAGCTAATGTCTTTTTCCAGATGAAATAATGAAATAGTTATTTCTATAACTAGTGCAAAAAGTGGCAATTTTCTGCACTTGAGAGAAATGCTTGCCTATGGCTCGTGCGGGAAGTGCAGGAAGTCTCGAGTACAGCAATGATACTGCGCCCATGATATACATTATGACAATAATAGGTTTTTTACATACCTCAGTCAAATAGTCCAATACATGATATTGATCAACACCTTACATGTTTTGTTGCGAAGACAACATTTTCAAAGCTTGCAATTCGTCAAAAACACATTAACACATTCGCTGCTGAAAACCTTTAAACAGGCGCTCGCCAATTGCGGCGAGGCCCGGGCGGAGCCCCGACGCGCTAACTGAATCAGCGATCGCTATTGGTATTGAAATATCTCAGTAAGACGAATCACAAAAGAGCAGTGGTGATTGTTCTGCGTTACTCCGAAAGTGGACGTAGTTCACTGAAACACCCAAAGGTAGCAGCACTGCCTGGATCAATAACCAGAGTCTTTGTAATACGGCTCGAATTGAGATATCCCCGAAAACGGGACAAAAGCATTGCCAGACGGGATTTTACGGGCAATTTTTGTACCAACCTACACCAGAATAAAGCTCTCATTATAAGCTACAGGCTGGTAAAGATTACAACGTTCCCCGGACAATGGCTGAACCACACTGATCCGGCAAACATTGCAATGCGCGCTCCCCCACCGGTGGACCCCCCGCTCCTCAGCAGAGACGCGCGGGGTCCACCGGTGGACCCGCCGCATCGAATGTGTTAAAAACACGGCACAAACACAGAAAACATTGATACGGTACGAATACAAGATAGACATTTAGATAGCCCTATCATAATCCAAATCCGTGCCAGACCAAATCAGTATTATGATAGCGCTATCTCCACAGCTTCTGGTGGAGTCTGAGAACGACCCAAAATCTTCCTGGCACACGAACATTGCTACTGAAGATTCCGTTGAAACTAACAATAACATTAGTACGAACAAATTCTAATACATAAAATCAAAATGCTTTTTCTTATTTTGTAGTAGTTATTTGTTGGCAGGCTTTGTACTCCACTAAGCAAATGAGAAAAATTAACCTTCTCAAAACAAACTTATACTCATGCCCTTTCTATTTGTTATTGTTTAAAATCAGCTGTTGGAAATAATGGAAACAGACGTACCAACCGTTAAGTCTTGCACCATTCTTTTTTAATAACCCTGTATATATTTTTTTATATTCATATAGGCTATATACAGGGTGGGGCAGGGAAGTATCCCTAATTTTAAAGGTAAATTAAAAGACAACCAAAAATGTTAGAACCAAACTTTTTATTGATATTAAAAGGTTACATCTGGGAGTTTATTTTAATATAACTTTACTTGGTTTTAAACAGCATATCCTGCAAGTGGTGTCCCTAATCTTAAATGCATTGCTGTATTCTGGTTCTGGAGTTCATAATAACTTTGTGAAGCATGTTTTGTGGAAAGAGGCAACATTCAAGGCGAATTGCATCCTTCAAGGCATCTAGGGTCTTCCCTTGAACTACCCTAGGCTTAGCATCACTCCAATAGAGCACATTCTGCTTATTTACCCGCTCCAGGAATATGGAAGTGTGCCTCGTCACTAAACAAAACCCGATCAGCATGAGGTAGTCCCGCAATTAAGATTTCACATGCCTGCATTCGTTGTTGCCAGTCCCGTTGTGTGAGTTCATGAGCAACTACCCTCTTGTATAGGTGGAGGTGTAGGTCCTCATGGAGAATACGAGGCACAGTACGATTAGACAACGCCAGCGCGGATGCATGCTTACAAGCAGAACTTTGAGGAGACTGCAAAATCGATCTTCTGACAAGGTCAATGTTTTCAGGACTCCGGACAGTTCTTTGAGCTCCAAATATCCTTCGCAATACACCACCGCATACACGAAAGTAATTCACCCACACCAAATTGTAACAGCTTTGCGACAGGCCACCCGATAACCCGACAGCCAATCGTAGCTGCACAGCAACAATAGACTGATTTTTGAAAAAAAATACATCTCGAGTGCAAAAGCACATTGCTCACTCGAACAAGCCATATCTACTACTGTTAGTGATATCTTTAGAAATTCCCAAAACAAAAGCTTCATTTGAGCCTAACCCCATTCCTCCAGCACACCCCCACTACTTACAGTGCCATCTTAAAAGTAGGGATATTTCCCTGCCCCACCCTGTATATATATATATATATATATACCATATATAGGCTATGTATGTTCACTATGGACTCTGAAAACCTCTCGATATATTGTAATGCAACTTTCAGGTATTATTAAGCAATATTCAAGGATGGTTTGTAGGAAGTTTGGTGCAGACCCGTCAAAAGGACTCTGCCCTAGAGGGTTTTAAGGGGTCCAATGTCAGACATTTGGAACTACAATGTTTAAAATCAATCCTTATATATAATACGTGAAGGCGATTTCTTGAAAACACTACTCCTCCGTTAATAATGGACGGATTTTTACAAACGACGTGTCAAAATAAAATATTTTTTGTGTAGACACCCCCTTTCACCAATTCATGTAGTAAAAATCCTCGGGCTTTTCCCCACAGGCCATCAAAGTTGGAGTTTCTCCCATAAGATTAACATGGGGGAATCTAAATATTTGATTGGAAACTTTGTCCCCACTAATTTGAGAGAACGGTTAGGCATAGAAACTTGGTAGAGGTGTCCAAAGAAAGGTCTTGGTCTGTAGATGAGTTATGAAAAGAAAAACTAAGCAAAATCCCTTAGGACTCTGCCCCAGAAGCCTTTAAAGATCCCTCCACAGAGTTGTTTACATTTTGGCCATGAGAATAATACTTTTTAATGAAACAGCTGTTAATTTTTAAATTGTATTTCAAACAACACATATTTATTGGGAGTTGAATTCTACCAAATAAGTATTTGCAATGTTATTTTCTGATTTTAAAATTGATTTTCTTCTTTATCATGCCATGTTTTGCAATATAACGTTCCATTACGAAATCAGTGGAAAATCCTTTTATCACAGCAATTCTTAAATTATATCTTATTGAACTATCTTATATCTATTGTACAGGTTGGTATGTGCCTTTTTCGCCACTTTTGCCTACATTTTATCATATTATTCTACAAAATATCAAATATTTATGTAGAAATATCTGCTCTTATTGTGTCTAATAAAATCCAAACTTAGAAACATTGCCTAAAATGGTACCTATCTTGACAAATAATTTGCACCGGCCTATATTACGGACTTTGGCGCACTGAATTAGTAACATTATTGAAAATAACACAACATTTTGGCTGTAAAATATGGTACAAAGAGAAAATACTATTTAAGCAGCTACTGTCATGACAGAAAGGTCATATTCCTTTTAAACTAGATCACATAATCCTTTGACTGGGACGGGTGGCGTCGTCCTGTAATCCAGCTACTAGGAGGTCACGAATTGTGGATATTTATAGGAATGCATTGTGGATGCGATACTCCCTGGTGTGGATTAACGTCCGCACGAGTGAGTACTACGACTACCCGCAGTGCTATCCTGATAATTATACCAATTCATAAATACCAATGCAAAAAAAATTTGGTTCCAATTCAACTATAAACTGTAGATCCCTTGGTTGCCATTCGCTGTATGGGCTATTAATTAACAGCTGTATCTAAGGAATGTCGGCCTTAGTAACTAACAAGACTTCAAGATCGCGCCACTCTTCCTACACTCATCTCCATTCATACTTGGCTTACCTACTATGAATGGTCGCCATAAAAAAACGTATTAAAGGATTAAAGTATTTATCATATACGTTGATTAACAATATGTAAACGTCAATATATACTTAACAGCCATTTTACAGTATTTTTGCTTTTTGGAAATGTTCAATTGCTATGTCATTTGCATTATTTATTGCCAATGAAGCCGCCAAGATCATATGAACTAGGAGGCCCCT